GTGAGCTAAAAAGAAAATTATAATAATAACACACCTATTGTAATAAATGCCAAAGGACTTTATGTGGTTATGCCCAATATTTGCCCCCAAAATCAAACTTTGACTGAGAAATATTATGTTTTAAAACAGGGGTATATCAGCAGACTCCAAAGCACTGAATATTTTCATAAGCTATGATATCATATCAAAAAATTATGTACTAAGGCCATACCAATTTCTAAATATCTTAACAAATCTAAATTATAATATTAAAAAAATAAATTTCGCGCGCGCGTCCAAAAATATCCGAGTTAAATTTTTTTCTCAACTTTTTACACAAAACACATAAAAGACTTGGAAATTTGTATGACAGAAGCGCAGTGTTTGTACTTTGTCTGTTAAGTTTTGCAAGACGCCCGTGTAACTGTTTGTATGTACCAGGGGTGAGCAATAAGCGTATTCAAACAACCGGGGCTACCATTTTGGGGGATCGGGCTAGTTGTTTTCTGCAAGGAGGTAGCCCGTCGGGCTAGTAAAAGACATAACTACACACGCAATACAACATGACAAGAACAATCGGTATTTTCACTTGTATTTGTGATAAAATTCCCAACCAGTTAAAATTTTCCAGACAAAATGCTTCTATTGTCAATAAATCTCCATAATCTTATCTGTTTTGTAGTTCTATCTGACTTATTTACTTCCAAAAACGATCATTTTTTCCTAATCCGAATTTCCTCTATTCCTCCATTTATGGTAAATACATGCCGATATCTTATTAAATTATTTACGATTATCCAATGAACTGAAAGATAAGTGTTTTGTAACTCACATAAAATATATTTCCTGAGTATTTAATGATTTAAGATGAAAACAAAATTAATTTGATTTTATTCTAAATGACTAAATGAGCTAGTGCAATAATCAAGAAAACGGAAAGATAATTCATTTAAATTAATTTAATTTTTTTTCATAATGATTTATGCATGATTAATATTGATAGTGAGAACTTTTAACTTTAATTTTAAAAAAGAATGACTTTTTCAGCAATTAATTTCTTCTCTAGATTAGTATTTATTCTAATTTTTGCCCCTCTGTTGGGTTAGTAACTTTTTATTAGGGGCTATAATGAAATGCCACTAGCCCGTCGAAAGTACTTGAAATTGCACACCCCTGTGTACAATAGAAGAACTTAGAAATTTTTGCCTCAAATATTAATTATATTCGCTCGCCTCATAATTTTGAAAACTGAAATAAAAAAAATAATATTAGTAAAATATTTTCGCTCGATTTTTGAAAAACTATGTTACAAATTGGTGTGGCCTAAGTTTAAAATTTCCCTGATTTCTCCAGAAAATATTCATTTGTCTATCACATCAACATTTTGAGCCAAATGTCACTGAGTGAAGATCTGCTCAAGCTCGATCAATATTTTGATAAAATGTGTAGAATAATAATATCTGATTCAATGAAATATGTAAATATTGTTCCTGAACAGACCAGCGCTCTATAAATTTTATAGTAAAAATTGAGCAAATTTTGTATATTTTTTCCTCTTTCTGAAAATTAATATGAAATCCAAATAGTTTGTGATGTCATAAAAACAAAAATTTTCAATAACCTACTTTGAAACTGTAATATTTTTTGTTAATTTAGATTTCTCATACAAAATATGCAATTTAGCACATTTCAAGAAATTTTCAAAATATGACTTCTGGGTGGCAAAAATATGCAATCTACCGCATATAGTTCTTTCAAAAGAAAATTGAGGTCACCTTCTTTCATGGTCTTATTGGTTGGGTGCTATTATGCAGCCCTATCCATTTTGATATAGAGGGTTGGGTTGAGAGGGGGAGAGGAGGGGGAGTTGCTACAACTTCATAGTTTATTTAATGCCCAGGAGCAGAGAAGATTTAAAAAGAAATAATGCATTTTCACTTTATAATCTTTTTAGCCCCACCCTGGCACTAGAATCCCTGACCCCGGGGCCTTGAATTTCACAAGTCTGGTAGATGACTCAATGCTTATTACATCCATGCCAACAGTTTGACTGCTTGATGTCCAGTATTAAAGATTGCATTAATTTTAGTGTTTTCCCCCACTCTCCAGTCCCAAGGGGGGCAGGGACCATGAAATTCAAAATTTTTGTTTCCCTTCACCTATAGATGCTATATACCAAATTTGGTTGAAATTGGTTGAGCGGTCGCAGGGAAGAAGCTGAAAATGTACCAATGATGATGTGATTGACACACAATGGACACCACATGTCAACAGACGAAAATGGATAGCAATAGGTCAGGTGACCTAAAAATATATTTTTGCATCATTTCTGAGATCCAATGGCATTGGCTCTCCTGAAAATATCACTGAGGGCTAAATTATTGCAGCTGCAGCTAATTTAAAATGTGAGTCCTGTCATTTCAAGGGCAAAAATAATGGGCAAAATATCTATTAGTGGTTTAAATTTCAAGGACAAGGCATTACCAATTTAATACAAGTCCTTTCTTATGTTCTGTGAATTCACAAAGGACTTGTTACCAGTAATACACCTGTTAAATATAAAAATGCTTTCTTCTTTTATTTAATCTAGGAATAATTAATGAGCAAGGTTAAATTTTGGTGACAGACAGACTAACAGCCAGGATGTCTAATCATTATTTTGTTAGGTTATAATTTAGAAACAGTGCAAATGCATTAAACAATAAATGTTGGGACAGAATTGACAGAATTAGTAAAGAAACAAGAGGCTCACATGAATCAATATGGCCGCTGTTTTTATACATACATATATATTCATATGCTTGGATCACCTCTTCTAGTCATATGGTGACGCCCTACCCCAAAGAGCCCTGTTTTGAATGAAATTAAATCTCAAATTTCTGAGGATGCTGCTATATTCATATGAATCATGACTTTGCTATTTTAAAGATGTCTGCCACCCAACCTGGGGTGGGGAGGTAGAGGGGGGTGTGATTTAAACAAAATTGAATCTACACCACATTTGGATGCTTCCATATTAATGTGACTTATTGTGGCTTTGTTGTTCCTTATAAGATTTTTTCATATGTATTCCGATGTAAAACTTTGATCCCCATTGTTGCCCCCTCCTACCCCATCTGGGCATGATTTGAACAACTTGAATCTACACTACCTGAGAATGCTTCCATATCAATATGTTTTGCTTCTGAAAAGATTTTTCCTATGTATTCCTATTTTCCTATGTTAAACTTCTATCCCCTATTGTGACTTTGGATCATAAGTTTGGGTCGGTAGGTGGGTAAGAAAATTATTTTCCTTAGAAAATTTCAATTTCAATGATAATTTTTTTTTAATTTCTGCCTCCAATTCATTTCCGCTCCTTTGGCCCTAGACACAATTGGGTTTAAGACAGGGCAGATGCAAAGAAAACTATTATTTCTTGAACAGAACTGTGACTAGGTGAATTTAAAACAGGGCAAAATATCAGTATTTTACAAGTGTGAAAAAAATATAGCAAAAAGAACCCTGTATAAAGCAAGTCCCATCACAGAGAGCATAAAATACAGGCTTACTCACCATCTTGTCTTCAGTTCACATTGAGAGGACACAGCAAAAAGTCAAAATAGTTTCAAATACACAACCCAAACATGGACTTTCTGCACTTTCTGTGAAATTTTTGGCTTTTCTGGAGCAGTATGTTCAATTTATGTCCAAAAACAAATCTTCACAAATGACACAAGACTCTTAAGCTCCTGTCTTAAATCTATCAAAATGAAGTGACTATCTTCATACAAAGATTCTGAATAAGTGAAAGTGAACCTGATTACCCTGGTATGTTGAACACTTTTCACTAAGGACTGTCAAGTGAACTGTTGCAGAAAGGTAGATCTACCCCTGAGGGTATAATTATCACATCTGGGCCTATACAAAATGATACCAGTCAGCAGTAGTAAATCATCATTATTTTACTTAATTAAAAACAATAAGAAATGCTGAGAATTGTAATGAAAAAAGTAAAAAAAAGTAGAACTGTCCAAAGAGACAAATCCCCCCCCCTGGCTTTTCAGAGAAGGTCCCAAATCAGGAATATTTTCTGGATCTAATAGATGTTCACAATTTTCTTATTAACATGTACAGTGAAAATGGAATTGCTCATTATATTTTTTAATGAATGAATCTAAGGTGCAACCTCATAAAACATGAAATAAATACTAATACACTGTATATAATTGTATTTAAATACAAAATAATTCACAAATTCCCTTGGTTCTTGGGAAAAATATACCAACATATACCACCAACATATACAAAACAGCCTTTTGAAAGTTGAATTATCAATTAAGAGCAAATGTATGCAAAGATTTAAGTCAAACTTGATCCCCCGTACTGTGAACTGTTCCCTTCATGTCAAATATTTTTTTTTACAAACAAACATCATATAAATTGATGTACACAGATAATGCTGACATACCAGAAAGAGATTCCTTAATTTAATGTCAGCATACTATTTCACTTTTGTGTCTCTTTGATCAGTTTTGGCATGGTAGTATGTCACAAAAACATATCTGGGCCTTAATTTTGCACCCCCCCCCCCCAAGTAAGTTATGCATAGTTTTACTTAAATTAAACAATATATTCAAGTTGATACACTCTGGGTTCATCAAAGCCAGTATGTAGGTAACAACAATCTTAAAGGACTCGGCAGGATCAAAGGTCACCAGCACCAAAAAAGAGTTCTGGACTTCTCTAAAATATGCTTCAAGAATCCATCATACAGCAGGTGTGAATCTAGATTTTTTTCAAATTGCTCCCTCCCACAGCTTCAACAAAAGTGGGAGTGAGCATACTTCAATTCAAATGCCAGAACCCTTGTTAAAGGCTCTGGGATTAATGAGAGGGGTGGGTCATCTATATAACTATATACTGCTGTACACTATTGTACAGCCACTTAACAGTTGTCATAACTGGAAGAGTTCATCATTTGTCTGTTCTAGTCGACTACTGACGGAGGACTGGAGTTTGTGAGTTCTAGATTTAATACGTAACACTGGAGATTCTGACTGGCCCGGGCTCCCATTGCAGGAGGAACTCCAAGAATGGTGAGAGGAAGCTGCAGTGGTTTGTGGAGCACACATCAGTGGATTGTGGAGGTCGTCAGAAAAGCTGAATCAAAACAGAAATTATTTAAAGCACTTGACATTATTTATGTATATTTTTATACAAACTAAGATGTATATAGATACAATAACATGAAGTTGTATTTCACTTCCTGCTGAAGTGTTCATATATTTACATACTAAAAAGATTCATAAATATTATGAGCAAGTTTTATATATATTCCATGTGGAAGATGAGAATATTTGAGGAATGACTCTAATTCTTGGCCAAATTATTTGATTATAACCTGGTTTGGGTCAGTTTACGCTTTATAATCCGCAAAGCCCACTGGCCTTAAAGGTCACCTGAGTATCATGTAACATCAAGAAAATGCACAACTAAGTCTTGTAGACCTTTAATTTAAATCAAACTTACAATAATTACTATGCCAGTAAAATCTATATAAAATTTATGGGCATCATCTCTTACCTTAAGTGCAATATTAAAGGACAGGTTCAGAGTTTATTTGCAAAATTTGAATGTGTATGTTTCACTTTTTAGCTCATCAGATTTCTTTTTGAAACATTAAATCCCTTTTACTTTTTAATTTGACATATCCTGTGCTAGCATTATTTTTACTGCATTGTCCTCTATAAAAGAGGGGGGTGGGAACCATAAATAAAGAGGGGCCCCTGGGCCACATTGCTCGTACGATGACTAGCTAAAAAAATCAAGTATTTAAAAAATTAAAATAGTACAATTCTCTGTTAACCTTGGACTTACAGTATGGCATGGCATTCTCAAAGTAACATCATTAGAATCTGAAATTCACACAGCCTTTCAATGGCTGTTGAAATATAGTATTACATGGGATAGAAATTTGTGCAAATGTCATTGAGTGTAGCAATGATCCAATGTCAGCGTTTCGTAAGGCAGAGAGGTGGGGCTTAAGACTAAGTTGTGTCATCGTTGTCATCAACGATTTAAAGTTACTATGTTATTCATTTCTTAACCAATGAGAATTTGAGAGATGTTAATTATGTAGCTTTGAGAATGCCACACCTCACTGAAAGAAGGATGACAGAGAATTGTACTATGTGATCCGTCTAAACCCATCCTGAAAGGGTAGAAGAGGCTTTTTGGTAAGAAAGCAAATTTACATTAGATGAAGATGTTCCCATATTTATTTGACTTAACGTGGGTTTAAAAGTTTTTCATAGATTTTAAGCTCACATGAGCTGAAAGCTACATGACAGCATCTTGAGCATTTTTGAAAAGTACCGGATACTTATTAAAACAAGAGGCCCACTGGCCTTAAAGGTCACCTGAGTATCATGTAACAACATTCCAACAACTGAGTTTGGTTTGTGTTTTAAACCAGAGGCCATGAAATTCAATTTTGAATGAGGCTTCATTGCTTATCATAACTATACTCTTGGCATGCTTACTTTGTTTACTTAATACCCAGAGGCAGATCAGAGTAACAAAGAGAATATTGCATTTAAACATTCTTTTAACCAGTCGTGCACCCTCTGACCCTAGCTGGGGGCCACATATTTCAAAATTTTCAAAAAGATATCTTCCCTCATCACAAATGGTTAATTATAACCAAAGAAGAAATTTTATTAAATCATTTTAAAATTAATTTCCAGATTATGTAACCCCCCCCACACACACAACTGTACCCCTGACCCAAGGGCCCTGAAGTTAATCTTTTTGGAAGAGGCACTCTTGCTCATCATAAGTATATACTTAGATCATTCGCATAATACCCAGCAGTAAAGGGAAAGATTTTCAAAGAATTCATTCATTTTCACTATTACATCAATAGAATCACCTACATCTTTACACCAGAACCCCTGACCCTGGGGCCATGAATTTCACAATTTTGGAAGAGGCACTCTTGCTCATCATAAATATATACTTAGTTTATTTAATACTTAGGATTACAGGAGAGTATTTCAAAGAATTAATGTATTTTCACTATATAATCAATGAGCCCCCACCCAACACGAGAACCCCTGACCCCAGGGCCATGAAATTCACAATTTTAGTAGAGGTACTCTTGTTAATCATAACTATGTACTTAGTTAGTTTATTTATTACCTAGGATTAGAGAAGAAGATTTTCAAAGAAATAATGCACTTTCACTACATGATTTATATAGTCCCACCCTAACACAAGAACCCCTGACCCAGGGGCCATGAAATTCACAATTTTGGAAGAAGCAGCCTTATTCAACATAACTATGTTCTTGGTTACTTAATTTAATACCCAGGAGCAGAGAAGAAGATTTTCAAAGAAATAATGCATTTTCACTTTATGATCTATATAGCCCTGCCTTAACACCAGAACCCCCGACCCTGGGACCATGAATTTCACAATTTTGGTAGAGAGCTCCTTGCTTATTACAATCATGCCAACAGTTTGACTGCTTGATGTCCAGGAGTAAAGAAGATTTTTAAAGATTGCATTAATTTTGGGGTTTTTAGCCCTACTTCTCAGGCCCTAGGGGGGAGGGGGGGGAGGGAATCTAAAATTCACAATTTTTATTCCCCTTCACCCATAGATGCTATATGCCAAAATTGGTTGAAATTGGTCAAGTGGTTTCAGAGAAGTTTAAAATGTTCAAATGTTAATGCACAATGCACGACGAATGACGACGGACAAAAATATGTATAAATATTTGAGTTTTGGAAGTGTTTATGGTACTTAGCAAAAAATTCTTCTGTGTTATGCAACTGAAATTTCCCGGTTAGGTTTGATGATATACATCTAAAATTTACTTCATTTTTTTAAAAATATCTCCACCAGACTTTAAATTTGAAAAATCTTGATTTTTCGTCTCTCAAAGTTGAATTGTGCCTTGCTCGAGAGAGAAGTCAGACCTGTTAACAGACAGACACGAGGACAACAGACAAACCTTGATTAAATAGAAAATCTTAAGTAAGCAGTATCATAATTGTTCCAATGAGCTAAAAATGTTGCAATATAGCTTTATATTATGCTACAGATACTAAACTCTAAAGAATGTGTGCTTTGCGAGGATTAATTAAGACTCTACTGACTGCTAGCTTTCTACTGATGTCCTGTTTTGACTACTTAGGACATCTCCCTTCTTCTATAAGCATGTTTAAATCAGGTAAGTTTTCCTGGTTATATACATGTGTAAGCTTGGAAATAAATAAGAACCTTGTACCTAGATCTGTCCTAACCTAACAGTCAGTGTCCGGGAGCACAGAACTAAGGTCATATTTATTGTCGAGGGGAACACACACAGTCTCAGATCGTTCTGTGTTGCTGAAAAAGAGACTCCATATTTAGAGTACTATAAAAATAACACACTTAAACCATCAGTAAGACTGTATCCAAATGTGTGAAAACAAGCAAGTTTGGTTTCATGTTATAACATGGCAATCTATTCTTTAATTTCCAAAGTTTCTGATCAGATTGTCTATTTATGTGGGGCTAACCAACACTGCACAACCAGCTCCATTTCTTTTCAATCTTGAGATGCCCCTTAAAATCATGTGAACTTTCTCTATGAATAACATCATTAACAGTGGTCCACTGTTCTCTCAGTAGAATGCCTTTTTTTAACCAAGGGTCTCTGATGAGATTATGCATGCAGCTCTACTGGTTTGTATTTCACCAAATGAAGAAGTGGGACTTGAATTTGAAGCTATGCAACAACAATAAATAGAATGGTTCCTAGTTAAGTGTCTCTCTTCTTGTGTCAAACAGGTTTGCCCTAAGACCATGAAGATAACGGGGCCAGGGAATTTTCCCCACCTTTAATCGTGTAATCCCCCATTTATTCTGGTATAAACCCTCAACTCCCCTGCTACTCCAATGCTAAGGGACAGACTTATGTCCCATAATTAATTTCAATCTGTCATAAACCATAAACTATACACAGAGTACCCCGTTGCAAGAATTTTCAGGTATCTCTCTTTTAAGTGACAATGGCAACATTATGTTCATCACTGTCAAAAAGAGAATTACGTTTCTCAATATAGTGTAACCCTTGCATGCCAAATTAGAATGAAGAGATCCAAATTATAGGAGTAGTCTTTTGCAAGAATTTCACAGAAATTTCTGTTTTAGTAACCATGGCAACACCATGCATTCATCAAAATTAAAAATTGATAGAAATATGATTCTTAGAGTAGTCTACTTTTGTTCAAGTTACACTGAAATCAGACCAAAACTAGTCATAAATGAAATTCACAGAAATTTTTATTTTTTGTAACCATGACAAATATCCTTGATTCATACTTCTTATTTCAAACTTCATGTAAAATGTTAGGATGCTATTGCCAAATTCACATCTCTTGATTGTAGTTTTAAATTTCTGTTATTTGACAAATATTCAATTATTTTTAATACTTCCCTTAATTAACCTTGATTGAAATTCAGCATTTTCAAATTATACAGTAAAAATGTACTTTGTTTTATTCCAATAGTAAAAGAGAGAACTCTTTATCATGTATATGTTACAGTAAATATATGTGTAATCAGGAATTTCGTGTATTTCCTGAATTATAGGAAATACTTGAAATTCCTATTCTGCTTAGAAAATATGTGTATTTGATTTCAGTTAGGAAATACATGCATTTGATTTCAGTTAGGAAATATGTGTATTTACTGAATTTTTCAATACTTTTCACATGTATTTACTGACTGTGTTTTGGTGAGATAATCTAAATATGAATCATAAAATATGAACAGATGCACAGTATATTAATATATAAATATTGCATGTAGTTGAGTGTAACATTGAAAATTTTCACCCCAAGAAAACCAGGCCTAAAATAAAATATCGTTTGTTTGCAGTTGCCTACCGACCCACTGAACATGCACCCGACCCAAACTTTTTTAAAGCCATTTTGTAATATTATTTTTTACCAAATTTTTCAGGATATTGAAACTGTTTCATTTTCAATTTTTTTTCTTTCATAATCAGTAGTTTATATCAAGAGTGGGGCATATTCATGTCAAGTAGACATATGAAAAACTCTATTTAATGTTATGTAACAAAAGTCTGAAAATATTTTTTTTTTCAAAGAAAAAAAAAAAGAATGCCTACCTACCTACCAAGTCTAAAAATTATAGGTCGGCAACTGCAAACAAAGAATTTTTTAAGCTTGGCCCCATTGTCAACCCAGGCGCAGCCGAGGTTGACAGTGGTTTTCGAGGGGTGAAAATTTTCAATGTTACACTCAACTACATGCAGTATTTATTATATTATACTGAATATTTTATACAAATACATTTTACAGTGAACCGTGCGTGCATAAATTCCGCGCAGTCGCTATTTTTGTAATACCACCCGTCGTCAAGCAATGTTGACTGTTGCTACGCAGGAGGGTGTGGTTCATTATTCTGAGCGGGTAGTTGTGTTTTTTATCAAATGTTTCTCAACGAATCAGATTCAAGTAATTTACATGAAAGTATAATATATGTTTATATTGGTTAGCATATAATGTGAATAAACGATATTTGAATAAACCTTTATTTATAAATTCATAAAATTAAAAAAATCATTAATTGTGAATATTACCAAAATAAACATGATGATACACTGCTTTCATTTTTCTAATAAAAAGTTTGTAAAAACTGGTTCAAATACATGTACATCAATCTGATATTGAAAGCTCAAAAATAATTACTTCCTTATAAATATATTTGAATTGTGAATATCAAGGTATCTGTTTTACAAAGAAAATACCTGAATGAAGAGACACAAAAAAGGGTTATTGTCCTTAGAAATATTTTTTAAAAATTAATTGATTAAATGAATAAACTATATATGTTCAAAATTCTTTTACTTAACCAATTTTTCAACACACATGGAAAACATTCTTCCAAAAGATATTTTTCTATTGCGAATGAATTTAAATTAATAAAAGTTTCTTTAAAAACTTACGCCATCACAAGGAGGATGGAAATACCTTAAGGCATTCTTAAGGATCCTGGATACTCTGATAAGAGAGATAACTCTTAATGACATAAACGTCTATTATTCTGTTATAGATTTGTCAAGTTGAAATGTCTTTTTTGTTTAATTTTGCTTTGCAAGCTATGATATAATTGTCTGTATTTTATTTCCTTATAAAATACATTTCCTTTGGAAAATCATAAGTCTTATAGGGTTAAAGCAACATTCAATATGAGTGAGCAGAGGATTTAGGAACCTTAAATGGAATTTTAGAAACACAATGCACCCCCCCACCGACTGTCCAAATCTTGTCCAGAATTGGTAATTAATGTATAACGTCAGCTTTGTAGAAACAATTCTTATCATTTCCGTCTTCAAAAGCATTCACACTAGCATTTGTTTAGTTACAGAATGTTTTAAAGCATATGTATATAGTCATCCAGCTTAGTTCAATAAAAACGTGTAAAATTGGCTAAAATTTTTAAGTAAACATATGAATTTCCTAGCTATTCAGTAGTTACATGTATTTCCTAAACAGCCAGTAAATACAATTATTTACTGGATGGTTTAGGAAATACATGAAATTTGTAATTTCACATACAGTATTTACTGTAACATATACATTTTTTACTGTACAGCATGATATCTTGAGAAGCTTTTGAGCTTTCGCAGTGAAACTCTATACTACAACTCCAAGGAAGATCCCTATTTAAGGTCAAAAGGTCAAAGTCATAAAATCATATTTTCTTGGTGATATCTCAAGAAGCTTTTTCAAAGAAATTTCATATCATAACTCCCTAAAGCTCAGCATGCCTTTTATAAAGTGCCCCCTCCCAAGATCTGCAAATACTCTTCTTTCAAGTGAGGGAGACAGATTCTCTGAATTAGCTTGTTTAATCAAAATGCATTTTAAGGTAGTCCGATCCTCAGGTTCATAAAATGAGCAGTTAAGTAAGCAAAAGTGCTCATAAAAGTATCTCTGAATCCACAGAGTTATGTTAATTTATCCACAGTATTTCTTTTAAGTTAAAGATTAAAGTTAATCATATTATATAGGGAAAATCGTCAAATCTCCAGTATTTTTGCAGAAAAAGCGAATAGGAATATCAGCTATGCATTTTCTAATTGCAAATTCATCAACAAATATATTTTAGGTTAAAAAACGATTGGTATCCAGGCATTCAGAGAAATTGTCCTGATTTTTATACTTATTTGGTATTTTTTGTCTTCTATTTCCATCATGTATTCTATGATACATAGTGTAAAAGGCTTTTGCTATCATTACAAAACACCACAAATCACTTCTCATTTCATATAATGCTAATAATCATTGGTATCTAAGGCTGGATTCAAGAAAACTTATTTCTCTAAAACTATATAATTGTTTTTTCCTTTTATAGGGTACAAATGTCAACTTTTATAAGACCATTTCTAAGACTTCAAAAAAACCTTGAATCTTATAAAGATGGATATAATGAAAATTGTTGCATGAAAAAATTTCATTTTCAAGCTTCATTTTGATGCATTTCAAATTAAATATGGATTTTTGGAGTTATCCTTCCTGGCTGAGGATCGGATATCCTTAAAGCTTTGGAAAGTCTTAACAATTAGCTGTGAAACTAATGAAAACATGTGATCCAGGATTTTTTTATGTGATCTTGCTTAGTTTGTATAAGCATGATAAAGATTAAATAGAGTTGAATGTACTTCTATTTATTGCTCTCAGCAAGGATTACTTTAGTTTAGTATGTATTAAATGATTACATACATTGTCAAACATAAGTATCCACTCATCAAAATACAAGCTCTGTACTGAATGTTGAATAAACATGTCTTCCTTTTTCTCCTAAACTAATCATGGTTAAAGTCCAAATGCCACTAATTATTTTTGAAAGATGGTGAAATGGAGCTAATTGGGACAAAAGGGTTGATGCCCATTTTTTATAGGTATTATCATATGCTTACTCTTCATGTTCTTTCTACAATACCATTTTGGCACAGTGTACAAATGAATAACATAGCATATATGCATATCGTTGCTGAAATACATGTAGTACTTTAACACTTGTTTTAATTAGTGAAGCAAAATTATCCATGGATTATCATTTTTATAGCTGGTACAATGTATATGCAATAAAATCTTTTTTGTAGAGCTGATGAGAGCACAGGAGTAAGCAGTTTTATCTATAAATTTATACATTTTGTAAACAATAACCAGCGAAGTTTGCTCATAATACTTGCGAAACTCAGTAGTTAGGCCATAATAAAAATATTCCTAGATTCTCATCTCCGCCCGCCCCGATTTTATACCCCCGCCTCGATTTTTTTTATTTCTGTTTTTCTTCGTCTTAATTCTGATTGGGATCGGCATTCATCTACCATTCTACTTTCGTTTTAAATCCCGCGAAAGTCGACATGATTTTGACAGCTGAAAAGATGGTAATTGCTGTAATACATGCATATATATTTTAAACAAGGGTCATTGGTTGTAAAAGATTGGTGATTATGTGAAGTAAGAGATAATTGAACCTTTACTATGACTTTTATTCGGGTATTGTAGATAAAATTACACCGATTGACCAGGTCAATAAAAAAACCTGCAAAATTGAAAAAATAAAAAATATAAAATACAAGAGGCCCAAGGGCCTTGAATCGCTCTTCTGATAAATTATACAATTATACAATCTATCCTAAGACCCAAGATGCATCAAATGACAAAGTTTGATGATTCTTAACCAGTTAGAGCTGAAGATATTTAAATGTAACTATAAAATACTATAAGTAGGTCATGGTGACCTACTTTTTGATTGAAATTTTCTGAGGACACAAGATGCATTAAATGACAAAGATTGATGAGTCTAAGCCAATAAGTACTTGAGATATTCAAAAGTGGGTCACAGTGACCTACTTATTGGTCAACATTCTTCAAAAACCCAACGTGCATAAACTGACAAAGTTTGACAATTCTAAGCCAATAAGTACCCCTAGAATACTTAAATATAGCCATAAATGTCACAAGTAGGTCAGTGTGACCTATATTTTGATCATCATTCTCCGAAACCCAAAATGCATCAAATAACTAAGTTTGATGATTTTTAAACCAATAAGTACCCGAAATACCTAAATATAGCCATAAAATGACAAAAGTAGGTCACTGTGACCTACTTTTTGACCTACTTTTTGGTCGACATTCTCCGAAAACCCAAGATGCATCTACTGACAAAGTTTGATGATTCTAAGCCAATCAGTACCTGAGATATTCAAAAGTGGGTCACTGTGACCTACTTTTTGGTCAACATGCTTTGAAAACCTAAGATGCATCAAATGACAAAATTTGATGATTCTAAACCAATTAGTACCTGAGATACATAAAACTAGCCATAAAATGTCAAAAATAGGTCACTGTGACCTACTTTTTTATCGACGTGCTCTGAAAACCCAAGATGCATCAAATGACAAAGTTTGATGATTCTAAGCCAATAAGTACCTGAGATACTAAAATATAGCCATAGAATGTCAAAAGTAGGTCACTGTGACCTACTTTTTGGTCGTTAATCTCCGAAAACCCAAGATGCATCAACTGACAAATTTTAATGATTCTAAGCTAATTAGTACCCGAGATACTTAATTCTAGCCATAAAATGTCGAAAGTAGGTCACAGCGACCTACTTTTTGGTCGACATATTCTGAAGACCAAAGATGCATCAACTGACAAAATTTGATGATCATAGGTCTAATAGTATTCAGGATATATCTTTTAAACAATTTGAAAACAAATGCCTGCAAAGTTCAAAAAGTAGGTCACAGTGACCTACTTTTTGATAAATATGTTTTAAGGCCTCTAGATGCATCAACTTACAAGATTTGGTGATTCTAAACCTCTCGGTGTCTGAAATAATTGGATTAAATGTTTTAGAAAAGATTAGCCATAAAATTCAAAAAGTAGGTCACAATGACCTACTTTTAAGTTGATGTTGTTTGTGGACCCAAGATGCACCAACTGACAAAGTTTTATGATCATAGGCCTTAAAGTGTCCAAAATATGCCTCCATATCAATTTGAAAACAAAAGCCCGTAAATTTAAAAAGTAGGTCACCATGACCTACTTTTGTATTAACATGATGTCAAGTCCTGAGATGCATCAACTTACAAGATTTGATGATCCTAGTCATTATAGTAAGCAAAATATCAACGTTTTTAATAAGTGTAAATTTTGGTCAACTTTGAAGTGACCTTGAGACCACGCCCTTTGCCCCAGGGTCATGCCTTGAACAGTTTTTATTCTTCAACATATCCTGACCCTTGTATGTAAGTTTGGTGAAAATCTGCCTAGTGGTTCTGGAGAAGAAGATTTTTTAGCAACCAGTACTTTTGATTTTATTTTCGTGATTATCTCCCCTTGTTTTAGGGTCCCACCCCTAATTTTAGTACAAATGGTAGCCCTTGGGCCAAGGATATCCTGTGACAAATTTGACAATAATTGGCCAAGGGGTTCTTGAGTTATGGCCCATATTCTAAAAAGTTAACGCACACCGCACAAATGGCCATAGCATTAGCTCTTTGAGCCTTTGGCTCAGAAGAGCTATAAAGCCACCCGCCCATCTCGATTTTTAAAAAAATTCGGATGAGAATCTAGCAATTTATTTATTATGGCCTTATTGTATTTACATTGCTAGATAAAACCGCCACCTCCTGTGCTGAAAGTAATTGAACTGCATCATCAATGTCTTAAATCATGTAAATAATTAAATTTAATAAAAGAAAAAAATACCTTGTATTTTGTTCCATTTTCTTCACATTGGATTTTAAAACAGCAAATGAATTGTCAAACTTGCTAAGGAAGTCTTGTCCAGAGGTATCTAATTCTTTCTCTGACTTGTTTTTTTCAATCTTCATTGTGTCAGTACTTTCACTTTCACTTTCAGTGATAGGATTGTTTGAATTTAGTCCTGAGCTACTAGAACGAGATCTAAGGGTATTGTCAACTTCTATTACTTCACAGTTTTTAGGTAAGTCACTTGCAAACTCATTAGTGATTGGGATTAACAGGTGCTCTCTTAGAAACAAACTGTCATTTGTCCATAACTTGTTTTCTCTTTTAATTTGTTCTACCTGGAAAAAAATACATTCATCATAATTCACAATCGTTTTTTTTTTAAGTGAGAAAACAGAGTGAGCAAACCTAAAAACTAGAGTTGGGCACAAATATCAATATTTTGTTATATTGCAATGACAAAAAATATCGTATTGCAATACGTTTTTGTAATATCTGTAAATTGGCAAAATGCTTAGACGAAGGAATTTTATCATTAAATATAAATATAAATGTAAGAAAGGTAGTTATTAAGTCAAACAGTAAGATAGATTGTTTTATTTAAGCCCCCTGAGAAAATTGCAATACTTGTGTCACAATTCAATTTTTTCAATACGATACAATTTAAGAACGAAACTATTCATAAGGTTAAAGAAAACGCAAACAAAGAGTAAAAAGTGGTGATACTAAATATACTACCAGGGGTATGCAATCTAAAAATTCAAGTTGGGCACAAGTAAAAAGTTATTAGCCCAAATATTAAAATTGAAAAAAAAATTAATCATTGAAAAAGTCAGGGTACTAAGGTCAATCTTTTGAAAATTAAAATTTTATTTTCACTATTAAAATTAAATCATATAAAATTAATGATTATGACAGAAAATAAAAATGAATTACTGATTATTTTGTACTTAAGCTCATTTAGAATGAAAATAAATTCATTTTGTTTTCATATTAAATCCTTAAATACACTAGAAATATATTTCATATCTTTCAGTTGATTGAGTGATCGTAAATAATTTAATGAGATATCTGCATGTATTTACAATAAACAATAGGAAAAAACCGATCGTTTTTGGAAGTTGTAATATGCAAAATGAAAATTATGGAGATTTAAATTGGCAAAATGCTTACCGGTTGTACTTTATGTATTACAGTAGTTATAATTTTATTTTTGTTAATTCATTAAATATAAATATATGATAATGTAATTTTCTCCCTCGTGTGTGAAAGGTCAAAGAGTTATTAAAAAAAAGTCGAACCGAAAACAGTAAGATAGATGATATTTCTGTTAGTTTTATGGGTGTATTTCAAAGCAGAAATCTAATAAAATCAACAAGATTTTTTCCCCCTTTTGCTTACTTATCATAGTTATTTACATTTTGCATGTAAATTAAAGTTAATATAATACAAAAATGCCATTTTTATAACATTTAAAATATTGCAATACATATTGCAATACAGTTAAAAATATCGCAATATATCGCAATACAAAATCTTTGGCCAATACCCAGTCCTACTAAAAACAGAGAGTTGAACAATAAGCCATCACATTTTCACTCTTTCTGAATTATCTCCCCTTGAAAAGGGTGTGAACATTCATTTGAACAAACTTAATCTTTGTTGAGTTTGGTTAAAATTGACCCAGTTCGTGGTTCTGGAGACGAAGTCGAAAATTGGAATATGAAAACACTCAGATGAGCATTGCGGCCGATTGATCTCATCATTTCATATAGGTCTACTCATAGAACAAAACAGTACTGTTGTGAAGTTTGCATTCAAAAAAATTTCCCTTATAGCTTATCAGAATATGACATCGCAAATAGTTTGGTCTCTACGTATCTTGAGCAGAACTGGTATTTAAAATATGGTTTTAAAAAACTTTACCGAAGATCCATATTTCAGGGCGATTCCCATCAGAGTATCCGACTGACTCACTCTGTGTTTTACCAATAAAGAAGATTTTGCCACTAATCGTGTTGCAGTTCCATACTTGGTTTGTTGTTCTACAAATTTACCAAGCAGCTGACTTTCGGTCCCGCTGCAGTCATCCGCCATTTTGGACAAAGCAAAATCACGTGATACAAAATTCATCGTGATCGGCAAGGCGTTTTTTGTAATTTTACAAAATCTATAATACAAAAGAAATTTGTTTACGTCGAGAGTCGGTGAAAAGAAAAAAAATATGAGCTACCAACTGTACAGAAATACGACCCTTGGACACACGTTACAGGAAAGTCTTGACGAATTGATATCGGTAAACAAACCTTTCCTTTATACAGACTTCTGGTAAAAATGGTTTTGAAACAGGAAGTAAGAAATTGCGACGGAAAAGCATGTAACACAGTTCTGGTATTATGTAAAAATATCACAAGGAAGGAATTAAATATGCCATACTCATCTCCAGCGTGTTTATGATATACGCAGATCTGATTGTCAACTACTCCTTCACTTTTATTATTAATTTTAGTGTGAAATAATAAGAAATACCCTTATAACTTTAAGTTTTCCAGATCGGTTATTAAAGTAAGCGACTAAAAATTTTGGTTTGGTGTCTCTACGAATCCTTGACCATTGTCACATAATCTCAGTTAGGGTTTTGTGCTCTGACTTTGAGTGCTTGTTTTGATTAATACGGGCAGAAATGAATTATCAGTCCGCTTCAACTTTTTTTACTTTGGACATCCTTTTAATTCCCATCACTATAAAACTTTCATTTCGAATACCAGCAAAATATAAAGCCTCTGATGTTGAAGAGTTCCAGCAGTAGTCTGCTTCAAATACTTGGTACAGGGACCTAGACCTAAAATTTAGGGAGACCACTTCTCCCTCATAGAAATTTAAGAATTTTTGAAATGTAAGGAAAATTCCTAGCATGCGTATAGCTCATTGATCATTTTAATACGTTTTAGGTCACCTGAATAAACACGGTGACCTATTGCTATCCGTTTTTGTCCATCGTCGTTCTTTGTGCGTCGTTCGTCGGCGTTAACATTTGAACATTTTCAGCTTCTTCTCTGAAACCACTGTACCAATTTCAACCAATTTTGGCATATAGCATCTGTGGGGAAGGGGAACAAAAATTATTAATTTCATGGTCCCTGCCCCCTTGGGGCCTGGGGGGTGGGGGCAAAACCACTGAAATTAGTGCAATATTTAAAAATCTTCTTTACACCTGGAATCAAGCAGTCAAACTGTTGGCATGATTGTAATAAGCAAGGAGCCCTCTACCAAAATTGTGAAATTCATGGTCCCAGGGTCAGGGGTTCTATTGCTAGGGTGGGGCTATATTGATAATATATTGAAAATGTATTATTTCTTTGAAAATCTTCTTCTCTGTTCCTTGGTATTAGATAAACTAACTTAGTACATAGTTATAATGAGCAAGAGTGCCTCTACCAAAATTGTGAATTTTAGGGCCCCAGGGTCAGGAGTTCTGGTGTTAGGGCTGGGCTCTATTGATTATATAGTGAAAATGCATTAATTCTTTGAAAATCGTTTTTGTGCTCCTAGGTATTAAGTAAACTAAGTTAGAATATAGCTATGGTGAGCAAGAATGCCTCTACCAAAATTCATGGCCCCCGGGTCAGGGGCTCTGGTTTTAGGGTGGGGCTCTATTGATTATATATTGAAAATGCATTAATTCTTTGAAAATCTTCTTCTATGCTTCTGGGTATTAAATAAACAACCTAAGTATATAGTTATGATGAGCAAGAGTGCCTCTACCAAAATTGTGAATTTTATGGCCCCAGGGTCAAGGGTTCTGGTCTTAGCGCGGGGCTCCATTGATTATATAGTGAAAAATGCACTATTCTTTGAAAATCTTCTTCTCTGCTCCTGAGTATTAAATAAACAAACTAAGTACATAGTTATGATGAGCAAGAGTGCCTCTACCAAAATCGTGAATTTTAGGGCCCCAGGGTCAGGGGTTCTGGTGTTAGGGCTGGGCTCTATTGATTATTAAGTGAAAATGCATTAATTCTTTGAAAATCTTTTCTGTGCTCCTAGGTATTAAGTAAACTAAGTTAGGACATAGCAATGGTGAGCAAGAATGCCTCTACCAAAATTCATGGCCCCAGGGTCAGGGATTCTGGCGTTAGGGTGGGGCTCTATAATGATTATATAGTGAATATACATTAATACTTTGAAAATCTTCTTCTCTGCCCATGGGTAATAAGCAAATAAACTAAATGTACCTACATACTCAGTAGTTATGATGTGCAAGGGCTCTTCTTTTAGAATTGTGAATTTCCAGGCCCCTAGGTCAGGGATACCATTGGGGGGGGGAGGTGGAGGGCTCGACTTATATACTGAAAATGAATTGTTTGATATCTGCCTCTTGGTATCAATCAAACATTTTTAATAAGCAAGTATGCCTTTTCAAAAATTGTGCAATGTATGAACCTAGGGTCAGGGGTTCATGTGTGGTAGGGACACTTCTGATCATTGCTGAATATTACTGATTAGTTTATATGCATTTTTTGTTCCCCTACCCTGCCTATGGGTATTAAGGAGGCTTGGGGGTCAACAAATTAAAAACAAATTAACCACCAGATATAAATAAAATTTTTTGATATATATCATAGGGATGGGTATCGCCAAAAATTTCGTATCGCGATATATCACGATTTTTTCCCAAAATATCACGATAATATCGTGATATTTTATAAGCAATTTTTACAATGGTTTTTAATGAATTGTCATTATTTTTCTTAAATATATACTAGAAAAATAAAATTTTACTTTTTTGAAATGTTTATGTACATAAAATTAATCATGTTTGGATGGTAAGATGCCGTTCTTTTCACATTTTACAACATTTTTTAGACTTTCTATAATTGAAATTTGAAAGATTGAACAAATAAATGAATAATTTCTGGAGTTTATAATATGTACCTAAATACCGGTATTTAGGTCTCCGTATCACGATACGTATCACGCAACAAAAAATCGCGATATACCGGTATACCGATAAAATCGCACATCCCTAATATATCATATCTTTAGCTGTCAATTATCATTTGACAAAAAAATTTCATACATATCAGTTTTAAAATTTGATTGTTTTGGTATATCTTTATATGGAGATCTTCTAAAGGAGATTGAAATAGTCTAAAAATGGCAACGACCACTCAGCCCCTTTAAGTAACCAAACTAAGCAATTACTAAGTTTATTGTAATGATAAGCAATGGTGCCAGCCTCTCTCAAAATTGTGAATGCCATAGCATCTACCTTAAAACATGAACCAAATTCAATCGTTTAAAAGTTGTTGCATGATTCTCAGGTGACCTATAAGGCCCATGGGCCTCTTGTTTTAAAAAATAAAACTTTTGTTTATAACTTAAATAGATTTCAATAATTTTTCTGTATTAATGTCCTAGTAAAAATAATTAAAAAAAAAAGAGAAAACGATTCTCAATTCCCCCCCCCCCCCCCCCCCCATTTACAAGGTATTTAAATATCTAGCAAAGAAAAAAAACCTATAGAAAACAATGATAATGTAAAAAGTTTCTTATTGATAAACTTGTTTATCAAACATTATTTGTTCATTTTTTGCATAGTATGCACAATTGACTTAAATTCTCTCTTCTTATTGAAGAAAAACTTTGATTACCTATGTGTATACCCCCTGCTTGAAAAGTGGGAGGGTATATACTGATTGGGATGTCCGTCAGTACATTCGTCCATCTGTCTCACACTGTATGTTCCTTCATCTGTTTGTTACGCTCAGGGGAACACATCTCATATCTGCAACATACTCCTCTTTTACCAATGAATGAAATTAAATGAGACTTTCACAGAATTTGGAATCTGGATATTTTTATGACAGTTTATTTTTACAAATCTGGGTCAAAAAGCTGTTGATTAATTTTTACCTTTAAAAATTTTGCGAATTAGCGGTAAAATTAAAAAGTAATTAAAAGTTAAGTTTTTCACAACAGTTTATATGTTACGCATATATATGTAGAAATATACTACACATGTATAAATTACATTTGTAGATACAATATTAAATGATGCCAACATTTAATAGTCAGAACATTAATTCAGCAAATTTTTGTGTAAATTTTGTGTTGCTGATTTATTTTTTAGAAAAATATTTTTGCACATTGAATGCATGCACAAATTTGCTAAAAATTTATTATAGTAAAAATTTCCAGATTTACCGTAGTGCCATTGTGACCTCTATTTTAACTTTTTAATTAGAAACATATTTTGGGTTTCAAAACATGGACATTGCCATTTTTAGCTCACCTCAACGAAGTTGGGGGAGCTTATGTAATACCCTCGGCGTCGGCGTCGGTGTCGGCGTTGGCGTCCCAGGTTAAGTTTTTTGGAGCAGTTTTCTTTTTAAGTACTTCTATGTCCTATATTGATTAGACATGCATGGAAGATGCTTCTAATGTGTTTCATTGTACCAGTCAAAGTTTCAGATGCTGCAATTTCAGCAAAGGAATGGCTAGGTTAATGTTTTTGGAGCAGGTTAACATTTTTGGTGCAGTTTTTGGTGCAGGTTTCATTTCCAAGTAACTATAAGCCCTATGTTGACCAAACTTGCATGGTTGATACATCTAAGGATGCATACTACTGGGCTTGCTTCGGATGCTGAATCTGACCTACATTTTCCGGATGAGTGAACAGGTTAAAGTTTTTGGTGCAGGTTTCATTTCCAAGTAACTATAAGCCCTATGTTGACCAAACTTGCACGGATGATACATCTAAGGATGCATACTATCAGGCTTGCTTCGGATGCTGAATCTGACCTACATTTTCCGGTTGAGTGAACAGGTTAAATTTTTTTGTGCAGGTTTCATTTCCAAGTAACTATAAGCCCTATGTTGACCAAACTTGCATGGATGATACATCTAAGGATGCATACTACCAGGCTTGCTTTGGATGCTGAATCTGACCTACATTTTCCGGTTGAGTGAACAGGTTAAAGTTTTTGGTGCAGGTTTCATTTCCAAGTAACTATAAGCCCTATGTTGACCAAACTTGCATGGATGATACATCTAAGGATGCATACTATCAGGCTTGCTTCAGATGCTGAATCTGACCTACATTTTCCGGTTGAGTGAACAGGTTAAATTTTTTTGGGCAGGTTTTATTTCCAAGTTACTATAAGCCCTATGTTGACCAAACTTGCATGGATGATACGTCTAAGGATGCATACTATCAGGCTTGCTTCGAATGCTGAATCTGATCTACAATGTACATTTTCCGGTTGAGTTAACAGGTTAAAGTTTTTGATGCATAATTCATTTCCAAGTAACTATGACTTCTTTAATGACCAAACTTGCACGGATGATACATCTAAGGATGCATACTACCGGGCTTGCTTCAGATGCTGAATCTGACCTACATTTTCTGGTTGAGTGAACAGGTTGAAGTTTTTGGTGCAGGTTTCATTTCCAAGTAACTATAAACCCTATGTTGACCAAACTTGCATGGATGATACATCTAAGGATGCATACTACCAGGCTTGCTTCGGATGCTGAATCTGACCTACATTTTGTGGATGAGTGAAAATGTTAGTTTGTGATGAATGTATCATTTCCAATTAACTATGAGCCCTATAATGAGCAAACTTGCATGGACGATACATCTTAGGATGCACACTAATGGACTTACTTTGGATGCTGAATTCGACATACATTTTTTCAGATAATAGACCAGGTAAAAGTTATGGGTGCAGGTCAATTACCAAAAAACTTGAAGGCTTATATAACATTGTATAAACCAAACCAAACTTGCACAAATGTTGCATCAGGAGATGAAAACTCTCAAATTTGCTTCAGATGCTTAATTTTAATTACATTTTCATGAACAACTAGTTTAAATTTTTTATGTAGGTCTATTTCGATGTATTCGATCAAAATTGCTTAAATATTTTCATTTCTGGAATGTACACTTTTTGTTGGTTAATTGTGTGACTTTGCCTTACTTAAAGACAACATTCGTTGAGGTGAGCTCTGTAATCTCTGATTACCTATGTTTTTTTAATGTTGAAGGGTACCCATGTCTTATTGGCAACTCCTATAAAACTTAATCAAATTTAATGATACTTTCACAGATTCTTTATTACATAAATACATTGTCCACCTCCTATTCTACTTTCTGACACTCATTTTGGGTCTCCCTGAGCAAAACATGGATTTTGCCATTATAACCATATTGGAGGTAGAGGGTATCATTTAGTGAGTTCATTGCTTACAGTACCTTTAGTTAATATATCTATGGTGTTGTGGCATAATTATTTAAGAGAGAATAAACTTACATGTTTTCAATTTTTTTTCACTTTTCAAAATGGTTGTACATGTATTTATTTGATCAACAGCATAAGCAAAGTAAATTTTTGATATTTTAAGAAATTGCAAACTTAATTAACATTTACTGACTAGAAAAATATGAATGTTTGGACAGTGTGGACAAATCACTCCTCAGCTGGCACTGAAGGTTCTGCTCCAGTTTGACAAAGCAATCAACACAGCCCTGGCTAACCGAGTGAAGAACAGGATACAGCTCAAGGTACTATTGTCAGAGTAGGACAAGACAGGAGGGACATAGTAAACATGGAAAATACACAAATGTCAGAGTAAATACGGAAAATACACTATGTCAGAGTAGGAAGGTCATGAAAATAGGGACATAGTAAACATGGAAAATACACTATTGTCAGAGTAGGACAAGACAGTACGGACATAGTAAACGTGAAATACACAAATGTCAGAGTAAATACGGAAAATACTCTATTGTCAGAGTAGGAAGGGCAGGATAATAAGGACATAGTAAACATGGAAAATACACTTTGTCAGAGTAGGAAGGGCAGGATAAATAGGTACATAGTAAACATGAAAAAAAACACTATGTCAGAGTAGGAAGGAAAATACACTATGTCAGAGTAGGAAGAACATTATAGATAGGGACATAGTAAACATGGAAAATACACTATTTTCAGAGGATGTGTAGGAAGGTTATGGCAGTAGGGACATAATAAACATGAAAAAAAACACTATGTCAGAGTAGGAAGGGCATGAAAATAGGGATTTAGTAAACATGGAAAAAACACCATTGTCAGAGTAGGAAGGGCATGAAAAAAGGGACATAGTAAACATGGAAAATACACTATTGTCAGAGTAGGAAGGGCATGACAGGGACATAGTAAACATGGAAAATACACTTTGTCAGAGTAGGAATGTCATGAAAATAAGGACATAGTGATTATGGAAAAAACACTTTGTCAGCGTAGGAAGGGCAGGGCAAATAGGTACATAGTAAACATTTAAAATACGCTATTGTTAGAGTAGGAAGGGCATGACAGGGACATAGTAAACATGGAAAAAACACTATTTTCGGAGTACATGTAGGAAGGTCATGACAGTAGGGACATAGTAAACATGGAAAAAATGGTTTTGTGTATTAGCTAGGGTCTTAAGAATGCAAGTTTGAAAAGAAATCTGCTAATAATGCATATTCCTAACCAAAAAATGCTGTACATTTTTCTTTCATACTTTGTCAATGTGTAAATTCTTTTACAATTGGGAAAACATTAAAATTAAGTTTATTTGTCCTCTTCCAACTTTGAGTGAGAAAATTGGTCTGTAAGTAAATGACAGAGAATTTCAACATGACTGCTGAATTTTCAAAATCTGGATAATTATATTAGTATCTCCAAATAGTATGTTGTTAAATATAATTGTCCTCAAAGTATGGATTCTTACAGTCAGGGGTCAGAATTTTACTCTGAAATTTAAAAATAACTTCTTTGAAAGACTACAGGGCCCTAAACTGTAAAATTCTAATGTGTTTAATGTGCAATGTAGGTCAAGTTCATACCCCCCCCCCCAAGTAAGGAAAATTTTAAAATATTCTGTTTTACAAAGAATGTAAAAGAAATTCTGTTAAAATCAGCTCGAGTTTTATATTAAAAAATATGGGCTATAAAATGTCAAATATTCCTTTTATAAAGTAATAATTTTGCAGTTTTAATTAAATCAGATATGGGGAGTTCAATTCTGGATAGAACCTTGAATTATGAGGCAGCAATATTCTCCAAGTTACCAGTATATTCTCATCCGATGTTCTATATTTTGAAAGTTGTTTGTCCTTGGGATTTTGAGATGCATAAACATTTATACATAGAGAAAAATAAGAGAAAAGCTTCTGGTTTGTAAAAAAAAAAAACAAACAAAAAACTGGTAACCATCAAGGATCATGTGTCTTTGTATTGTAGAAATGTATATAACAATTTTCTTTTTGTAAGGAATAGTCTACCATAAGTATTGTAACTTTAGTAAAAAAATAAAGTCTGAGAGTTTTTCCTCTGTCAGATCTGGTATTTTGGTAATCTATCAGTTTAATTTTGTAGGGAAAACTGAATACCTACCGCTTTTGTGACAACGTATGGACATTTGTGTTGAATAATGTCGATTTTCGAGATGTTCAGGAGTTGGCTAAATGTGATAAAGTGAAGATAGTAGCATGTGATGGAAAAAGTAAGTTAGTTAGAAGAAGTGGAAATAATGTTATTCACTTTTTTTAGGTATTAGGTCTTGCTCTTTTTACAATTTAAAATCTCCCATGATTACCCCTGGTAATACGCAAGACTCCAATGTCCAATAGTATTGCCAAAGTCAGATAATTCCTATCGTATGAGATACACTATGCTAAAGTCCAAAGTTAGATGGTGTGGAGAAACAATGTTGATGATGCCATAATATTTGGACATCAATCCTTGACACTGCTGGACCTGATTTCATAAGCTAACAATTCTGTTTTAGTCATCTGATACAATTTTACAGATTTTTCTCATCGCTTGAACCCACAAGAGATAATATGCACCACTCAAGTGGTAAGTCTTCACAGTACTTGGACTGATAAGAGTCAGTCTTGCAATTACCCAGTGTTTGAAATAACCGTGTGCCCGACCACCCGAGATGCACAAAATTGCATTTTCTTTGAAAATCTCCTGGATATTAAACAGATGAACTATCTATGATGAGCAATGGTTCTTCTTGCGAAAATGTGAATTTCAAGGACCCTGCGTCAAGGGTACAGTAGGGGGTTCTGGTGTTAAGGTGGGACTCTATCGATTCTAATATACCGCAAAACTCAGTTATAACGAAGTCGCTAGGACCTATAAAATTACTTCACTATATCTGTAATTTGTTATAACCGTGTAAGAAATTCATTAAATTTATATAGCTGGGGATCCAAGATGACTTCGCTATATCTGTAAATTCGCAATATCCGTGTTCGTACTAAACAAGTTTTACTGTTTATACTGGTGTGTAATGGAATTAATGCTTGAAATCTGCTCCTTGATATTAATAAAAAATTAGTGATGAGCGAGAGTGCCTTTTCCAAGATTGTGAAATGTATAGCTCCAGGGTCAGGTGTTCCTTTAGGGTTGGGGCACTACTGATTATTGCTGAATATTACTGATCAGTTGAAATACATTTTTTGCTCCCCTACTCTGCCTATGGGTATTAAGTAACCAAACTAAGCATGCGAAGTGTATACTTATGATAAACAATGGTGCCTCTTTCAAAATTGTGAATGTCATGGCCTCTCGTTTGAAACATAAACCAAATTCAATGGTTAGAAAGTTGTTGCATGATGCTCAGTTGACCTATAAGGCCCATGGGCCTCTTGTTTGGATTTTAAATATGCTCATTTTGCAAATCAGATAAAAGTAAAAAAAAATCTGTCCAGTCAATTTTTTTCAAAATCTACCCCAAAATACCTACAAAAAAGTAATAATGTTATTATTTCTTTGCTTACCCGTTCACTATTTATTCATGGATGTCTGACGGACAAGAAATTAAATTAATACTGAACTGATTTCTGCAGGAGCCAAATTGCTCAGGTGAACTTGTTTTTTAGCAGACAATCCCAAGTGTGGAATTGTGGATGCATTTTTATGACGTGGAGCAGAGCTTGATGGTCATCTAGCTGGCATCCAATCTAAGAATTTGAATCATCCTGGGGTAGTGTAGATTTTAAATTGATCAAATCGTGATCCCAAGGATGGGGTAAGGCCAAAAAAGGAAATACGGGGGGGGGGGGGGGGGGGGGGGGGGGGGGGGGGGGGGGGGGGAATCTGGTGAACAGCGGCAGGGTCAAGATACTCAGGTGTTTTGTGGCCTGTGGGCCTCTTGATCATATTGTGGACCCTGGTTTGATGTGTGGCTAAGGCTGGAATTAAAATTTTGCTTGATACATGATAAAAATATATTTAAATTACTGTGGTTTCATCAATATTCATTGAGCACCAATCTTCGAGGATTTCGTTGTTGAGCAGATCCACAAATTCAAATGTTCATTGAATTAAAAAAATACATGTATGATATTCATTTGTATAGGCAATGCTTTTGTCCATGAAATTACGTACATCCTTGAAAACGTCTCTTTTACAAAATCCACAAAATCTGATGCCAACGAAAATTGATGAAACCACAGTAGGTAAAATAATTGACTATTAAATATTATTTCCTTTCATCATTGTAGGTGCATCTGGTCATGAATAAATATGAAGAAATGACTCTCCTATGCTGTTTGGATATTTTTGTTGCAATAACATCTCACATTCATCTTACAAGATGAGCATTTCAGAAGCAGTAACAAGTTTGTAGATATAAAAATTATGTTTTTGCTTCAGTGCTTCATTTAAATTTGCCTAAAAATTGTAGGAAAAATGGGAAGTGAGTCTTTGTACATTTGCATAAAAATGGCCAAAAAAAGAAATGCCACTGGTCCAATTTTCTTGCAATTCAGGTAGAATGTTGTTTTGTGTAAATCAAAAGTTTAGGAAACTGTTCCTATAAATGTATAGAATACATCCACAGTGCTCTATTTAGTACTTTTAGTCTTGTACATTTCATGCATTGTGTACATAGTTCAATGACAATATCAAAACTCATGTATATTAAAGGAATATTATACAGATGAAGTATTTGTTATTCTTTAAAATGGATGCCATTTCTGACATTAAAATTAGTTACAAACAAAATGGAGATACAGAAGATGAGTTACTGCATCTTCACTAACCAAGGGTTATTGATACGCTACTCTCCTCACAAACCCTTGGCATATGGTGTTAAAAAATTTTTTTCAAGTTGAGATTGGAGTCGATCGACACCACTTGACCAATCAGCAATTTTTTTTTGTAAATGATGATATCTGCATTCAGAACATATTTTGATTCTTTTTTCTCGGGAAAGAAAAACGCAAGTAAACAACTATCACATGGTATTCTATGAATAGATATGGTGTCATCCAAAATCTTAAGATATGTACACTTGGGTCAATTAATCGCTCTAAGTTACTCCCCTTCGTTATTCACTTATTATAGTTAATCACTGTAAATAATGTCACTTAAAAGTTGAATTGGATAACAAAATTATGAATATGAATTTTTTTATGAATACAAAAAGTACTTTCATAGTGTTTAATGGTCATGCAGGTTGATTTTTATATGATAAATAAATGAAAATGAGATTTTAAAAAAGCTTCTCTTCGTACATTGAAAAAAATCTCAGAAGACCAAGAGTTGGGGGGGGGGGGGGGAGGGGGGTAGCTAACAGTGTTCCAGAACTATTGTTTTTAATTTAAAATTAGGCAAAAACATAGATCCACTTCAAGATTTGTTTCTGAGTACTAAATTAATATTTTGGTGATTCTTGATCATTCTATTTCTCTAGTTTTTAGCTCACCTGAGAAGGCGCAAGTGAGCTTTTCTGATTACATTTTGTCTGTCGTCCATCTGTCTGTCTGTCTGTCTGTAAACTTTTCACATTTTCGACTTCTTCTTAAGAACCACTGGGCCAATTTTAACCAAACTTGGTACAAAGCATCCTTGGGTGGAGGGGAATTTAAATTGTTAAAATGAAGGGCCAGGTCCTCTCACAAAGGGAAGATAATTAAGAAAAGACAAAAATAGGGTGGGGTCATTAAAAAAATCTTCTCAAAAAGCACTGGGCCAGAAAAGCTGAAACTTATGTGAAAGCATTCTGGGGTAGTGTAGATTCTAAATTGTTCACATCATGACCCCCGTGGGTTGGGCGGGGCCACAATAGGGAATCAAATTTTTACATAGAAATATATAGGAAAAATCTTTAAAAATCTTCTTCTCAAGAACCACTGAGCCAGAAAAGCTGAAACTTATGTGGAAGCATCCTTGGGTAGTGTAGATTCTAAATTGTTCAAATCATGACCCCCGTGGGTTGGGCGGGGCCACAATAGGGAATTTGAATTTCCAAATTAAGACCCTTGGGGTACGATGGGGTCACTGTAGGTATTACAAGGGGGAAATCTGGTTAAGAATCACATGGTCAAAGCTTCTCAGGTAAGCGATGTGGCCCACGGGCCTGTTGTTTAAGCAAATATAGCTTCATTTATCAGCTTATTAGCTTGACTGGTCAGAGACCAGAAGAGCTTATGCAACAGTAAGGTGTCCGTTGTCTGTACGTCTAGCCCTCTGTCCGTCTGTAAACAATTTTTCAAAATGCTACTCCTCCTACGGTTTTGGTCTGATTTCAGTATAACTTGGCACACAAAGAGACTACACTTAGATAATAATTTATTTTTGATTGATTTTGAAGAACAGTGTTGCCATGGTTACTAAAAATAGACTTTTCTATGAAATTCCTGAAAAACGCTACTCCTTCTACAGTTTTGATCTGATTTCAATAGAACTTGGCACACAAGTGGACTAGTCACTAAGATACCTAATTTAGTGCATCGGTTTGATTTCCATGAACAGTCTGTCTGTCACACATTGGTGTACACATCTCTTATCTGCATTCCTCTCATACCACTGAATGAAATTTGATGAGACTTTCACAGAATCTTTATTACATAATGCCATTGTGCACCTCCTATTTTATTTTTTGATCCGACTCATATATTGGGTTTTCTATCGTGTTGTAAATTTTCAATTTACTAGGGGGAGGTTAAGTTCAGCCACTGTGCTGCTAATGATGAGCCATCATATGGAGTTAGATGTACGGTGAGTCCCGGAGGGTTGTTAGTAGTCACTGTATGTGTGTTCTCACTGTAGATATGGTTGGGAGCGCCAGTGAGATTGACCCAGTTTCCCTTTCTGTTGAAGTGGTTGCTGTAGTTGTCGATGTTGTCCTTGATGTTGTCGTCCTGGGGGAGTGTCGTCTTGCCCTCCACTGGCTTCTTGCTCTGCCTGGCCCTGGTTTGCATTCCATCGTTTTGATTGTCCGGCTTCATCGTGATAGGTCAGAATGGATCAAAAGGATTTTCCACCAGTGGTATCTTTCGCTTTGAGATGGGGATTTCGGATGTTTTGTGGGGGAATGAGCTGTTATGTGCAGGGGACACAAGTCTTGATGCACTGCGTAATGAAAAATGACAAAGTCGGAATTAAAATTTGTCGATACTTGTATTTGGCGACTCACAATAAAATGCATATTTAATAAGTAACTTTATAATCAAAACATTAATAACTAGAGGTACTGTGAGCAATGAACTCATTAAATGATAACCCCCGTCTGTCCGTCTGTCTGTTACGCTTTAGGGTACCCATCTCTTATCCGCAACTCTTGTCATACCACAGAATGAAACTTGACGAAACTTTCACACAATCTTTATTACATATTGCCATCGTGCATCTCCTATTTTATTTTTTGATTTGACACATATTTTGGGTTTCCCACATTGACACTGCTATTATATTCATAAGGAAGGCGGGGTGGGGGGGGATATCATTTAGTGAGCTAGTGAGCTCATTGCTCACAGTACCTCTAGTTTTTCTAATATAATCATACATGTAGTCTCTACATACAGCTGAAGATAAATTACGAGAGAGAGAGAGAGAGGAAGGTCTACTTATAATGCTACTTTGAATGTTCAGATTGAAAACAAACTAGAACTAATCACAGGGGCATCTTATCCACTCTGTTCTCTACTTCACATATAAAAATACACAAGGGAAGAATCGAAAGTAGCACACGATTTTTAAAAAAAGTCAAAAAACAACTTACTTGAGAAAAGTTACACAAATCCTGAAAGGAACTAGCGCAAATAATGTCCTAGTACTTATCCATGCTAAAATATTCCAGATATATCCATCGTAAATAGCTTTTATCCAACTAAAACCCCAGCTTTCTGCACAGTGTGAATCTCTACGCCCAAGAAAAGATAACTCACAATGGATGACATATATACCCGAGGCCTTCCGAGTGCCATTGGAAACTTCGGGCACTACCCTATTTTCCGGATGAGTTATCTTTTCTTGGGCGTAAACACTGTGCAGAAAGCTGGGGTTTTAGTTGGATAAATTATTTTCGGCTGTGCTAAACAATGCAGAAAGCTTTTAAAGAATATATCTGGAATATTTTACATGGATAAGTACTGATGGACATTAAATGCCTAGTGTCCTTTCAGCATTTGTGTAACTTTTCTCAAGTAAGTTGTTTTTTGACTTTTTTTTAAAAATCGTGTGCTACTTTCGATTCTTCCCTTGTGTATTTTTATATGTGAAGTAGAGAACAGAGTGGATAAGATGCCCCTGTGAACTAATAGGACCTTTTATCTAGATGATGCACTTCATAAATTTTGGTCTGAATATAAAATTAGGCTGATTTGGCAATATGACAGTCACGAACTCGAACATCACGATTCTATTGTTTACACGTGGCTTTGTTTACAAGATACGATGTAAACACACCTTCGACTATCCAATAAAAATTATCGTAAGACCCGGTGTGGATTTACTAGGTCACGCCCCCTTTTATTTAGCTAACATCCGGTAATGGCGACTAAAGAAGAAGAAGACGTAGGGTCAGAATATAGATTTGTTAAGTTAGGATGTAAAAGGCAATAAAGAGGATCTCCACAATGGATAGGTAATTTTTGCTTATGAATCAGTCTAGATGTTGAAATTCCACCTCAATTATTTTCGGCTGTGCCTTTAAACAATTAAAGAACCTGGTCTGAACGTTGTAAACTGATGGCCCTAAATCCAGTGTCCATCAGCATTGTTATCAATATGCGTGTGATTTTGGTATTTTTTCTGACCCAGTTTCATGTAACACACTTTTTATTGAGTTAAACAAAATCAACACATGGTATAATCAGATATTGCATAATTGGAGAGCAGAGCATTTTTGTTTCATTTTTAATATGGACAGTTGCATTGTGCACAATTTTAAATCTCTATTCTTATTCAGTAATATTTACATTTCCAATATCTAGAGATAAAATTACATATAGTAAAAATACTTGTCTCACTTCCAGATGTTGAACATTTCAAACTGGAAGTGAGCAAACTGAATCACCCCAGACCTAAATCATATTATAGGTTTTGAATCTTTTATAAAATTGTTCTTTGAACTTTTTATCTTCACTAATAATAATAGTTCCCTTTTCATTGCATTGAAATTTACTTTCTCTACTTTTTTTTTTACATCTTTTAATTACTGCGCACCCTATCAGAGTATCAAAATTTGAGGGCGAGTAGTATCGGAGATAGAGATAGATAGATAGATGCATTTAAAGAAATCATGTGCGGGGCGGGATGTTATAGAGACACAAGCAGGGCTTGTAGCATGTGCATTTGTGGAATCAAGGGCATGTAAATATAAGGATTAACTGTCAGATTTTTTGATTTCATGGCAGTGATATATACTTGATATCGCAATTACTCAACTTAGCGGAACTCTTTTGCGATGGAGGTAGGAAACGTCTGTTGGGTGGGGACAGTTGTTATTGAATACAATGCAAGATCAGTATTGCAGGGGTAGACAAATACAATTTTGCAATACTTGCCCTCGGACAGGTAATCATAAAACTACTTGTCCTACCAAAAAATATGCTTGTCCCACCTTTTTCCTAAATTACATAGAATTGAAGTATTGATATCTTGAGTCACTGTGAGACACCTAAACAATACACGAAGACCATAGATCTAAAATCATGAAATTCTCCCACAGATAAATTCAGAGGAATATGTTTAATTTTAAGGAGTATTCTTCCTAAAAATTCTGCAATAAAAACGTTTTGGAAAATCTCCATTTATTTAATGGAAAATGGTGAAGATATCGGACACTGTTCAATCTCATAAAACCTACAAAAAACATGAGTCTGTGAACAGAACACTACTGCTTGTCGATTAAGAGATCGACATGGCTGTTTGATTGCTAGAGAACAGCAATCAACAACAAATTTAATACCACTTGCATCTGTATTCACAGCATGAATTTAATTTTTGACAATAAACATGATAAATGCCTTAAATTCCCATACAACGTGTTTGACGAATCGGTAACTCCATGTTTTACAACATCTGCATATTTTAACAACAAGTTAATGGATAAAATCTAAACTTCCGACTAGTCGATGTACGTATATACAGCTGATGTTCAACAGAGGTAAATATGCTTTTCTGTGACTCAGGATACTTTTAAAGCGATAACACAAAAGATATTTAAGTATATCGTACATTGATTTTTTTTTTTTTTTGGAAAACGCGGGCACTTATATTATCAAATTACTTGCCCACCAACCAAAAAGAATCCTATTTGTCTAGCCCTGCATTGTAGAGTTTATAAGGATATATAAGTAAAAAATCCTGGTGGAAAACCTGTTTAAGAATTGCTGAACCAGCCGTATTAATTTCTAGACCAGCTAATCCTAAAATGTTACATTTTTAAGGATATAGCAAAATAACTAAGCAGAGCCATTCTCATTAAATTTTCATTGAAAATCATCACATTTTAAAGCTGATAACAATTTCTAAATTCCCTAGTTGATTCTTACTATTTGGAGTCCAATTCTATGGCAATACATTGTACTTTTGGCATTAAATATTTGATTGTTACTACTGTAAACAATTCATGTGTCCCCAAAATCTAGCTTTGTCTCACTCTCCCACAAAACATTTCAAACTAAGTTAGATAACTGCCATACCCCAGACCTTAATCATATTATTGTGTTTTTATATAATTTTATCATAAATGCCTTAGCCGTTTATGAAACTTTTTATCTTCACTATTTTTCATAATTAATGAAACCAAAAAATGAAATTATTCTTTTCATGGAACAAGCTGTTAATGTTTTTTTTTACATCTTTTAGTTTGGCTTTCTCACATACTCTGGATTCTCAAGATTATAGTTTTCATATTTTCAGATTTCTACTTAGCTACACACTCAGAGTACTCAAAATTTGAGGGCGATTAATTTTGAAGAAAGCTTATCAAAAAATGATAGATAGGCATGGTTAAAAGAAATCATGTGCGGGGCATGGTTTAAATAATTTAAGACACAAAAAGGGCTTGTACACATGTGCATTTGTGTGTGCATGTAAATATAAGGATTAACTGTCAGATTTTTTGATTTCATGGCAGTGATATATACTTGATATCGCAATTACTCAACTTTACTACTTATAACTCTTTTGGATGGAGGTAGGAAACGTCTGTTGGGAATGGGGACACCTGTGCTATTATAACTGTAAGATCAGTCATTGCAGGGGTAGACAAATACAATTTTGCAATACTTGCCCTCGGTAACAGGTAACTACTCATAACTCTACTTTTCCTGGAATCAAAAAATACTACTTATAACCTTTTTCCTAAATTACATAGAATTGAAGTATTGATATCTTGAGTCACTGTGAGATCACCTAAACAATACTACTTAAACCTATTCATAGATCTAAAATCATGAAATTCTAGGGAATCAGATAACCTTCTACTTATATCTCTATTTTAGGGAATCAGTAACCTGTTCTACTTATAACTCAATCAGTAATCTGTATACTTATAATTTTTTTTTGGAAAAGTAATGTATTTATTTAATGGAAAAAGGTGAACATATAACCTGTACAATCTCATAAAACCTACAAAAAACATGAATCTGTAACCTGAACTACTTATACTGCATGTCGAATAAGTAACCTGACTACTTATGGCTATTTGATTGCTAGAGAATCAGCAATCAACAACTACTTATAATACCACTTGCATCTGTATTCACAGTATGAATTTAATATTTGACAGGGAAACATGATAAATGTACTAAATTCCCATACAACGTGTTTGACGAATCAGTAACCTGTTTTACTTATACACTGCATATTTTAACAACAAGTTAACCTGGATAAAATCTAGAGGACTTCCGTAACCTAGTCGATGTACTTATATACAGCTGATGCAGTGGTAACAGACTAATAAGTGCTTTTCTGTGACTCAGGATACTTTTAAACTCTAACACAAAAGATATTTAAGTATATCGTACATTAATTTTTTTTTTGGAAAAGAACTTGAACTAATTAGGCACTCTATTTCAGGGAATCTTGCCCACCTATACTAATAACTCTTTCCCGGGAATCGGTAAGTACTATTTTATAGCTCTATTGTAGAGTTTATAAGGATATATAAGTAAAAACTCCTTATAACCTGTTTTAAGAATTGCTGAACCAGCCGTATTAATTTTTGGGAATCAGTAACCTGTAAAATGTATAACATTTTTAAGGAATTTTTAACTAAGCAGACTTTTCTCATTAAATTTTCATTGAAAATCATCACATTTTAAAGCTTATAACTCTTTTAGGGAATCAGTTAACCTCTACTATTATAACTCAATTTTGGGAATCAGTAACCTGTTCTACTTATGGCATTATTTGAGGGAATCATTTGACCTGTACTACTTATAGCTGTATTTCAGGGAATCAGTAACCTATTACTACTGTAAACAATGTATGTGTCCCCAAAATCTAGAGCTTTCTTGACTCTCCCACAAAAGAGTGGTAGTAAGTCAGTAACCTGTACTACTTATAACTCTATTTATTGAATTGGCTTGCATGATAATTTTATGCATAAATGCTTATAACTCTAGCCGTTTATGAAATTAACCTGAACTACTTATAGCTGTATTTCAGGGAATTAGTAACCTGTTCAACTTATAACTCTATTTTTAGAATCAGTAACCTGGAACTTATAACTGTGTTTTAGGGAATCAGTAACCTGTTTTACTGGATGTGTTAACTTTATTTTAGGCAACATAACCTGTACTACTTATAACTCTATTTTAGGGAATAAGTAACCTGAACTACTTATACTCTGTATTTCAGGGAATAGTAACCTATACTTTATAACTCTATTACAGGGAATCAGTAACCTGTACTACTTATAACTTTATTTTAGGGAATCAGTAACCTGTACTTCTTATAACTCTATTTTAGGGAATCAGACCTGTGTGTCAACTTATAACTGTATTTTAGGGGAACTCAAACTGTCCCTAAATTCATGGTTTAAATAATTTAAGATTAAAAAAATTTAGGGAATCAGTAACCTATAGTACTTATAACTCTATTTTGTGTGTGAATCAGTAACCTGTACTACTTATAACTCTATTTTAGGGAATCAGTAACCTGTTCTACTTATAACTCTATTTTAGGGAATCAGTAACCTGTACTACTTATAACTCTGTTTTAGGGAATCAGTAACCTGTACTACTTATAACTCTATTTTAGGGAATCGGTAACATGTACTACTTATAACTCTATTTTAGAATCAGGTACTTATAACTCTATTTTAGGGAATCAGTAACCTGTACTACTTATAACTTTATTTTAGGGAATCAGTAACCTGTACTTCTTATAGCTCTATTTTAGGGAATCAGTAACCTGTTCTACTTATAACTGTATTTTAGGGAATCAGTAACCCGTACTACTTATAACTCTATTTTAGGGAATCAGTAACCTATAGTACTTATAACTCTATTTTAGGGAATCAGTAACCTGAATCAGTAACCTGTTCTACTTATAACTCTATTTTAGGGAATCAGTAACCTATACTACTTATAACTCTGTTTTAGGGAATCAGTAACCTGTACTACTTATAACTCTATTTTAGGGAATCGGTAACATGTACTACTTATAACTCTATTTTAAGGAATCAGTAACCTATAGTACTTATAACTCTATTTTAGGGAATCAGTAACCTGTACTACTTATAACTCTATTTTAAGGAATCAGTAACCTGTACTACTTATAACTCTATTTTAGGGAATCAGTAACCTGTACTACTTATAACTCTATTTTAGGGAATCAGTAACCTGTTCTACTTATACCTCAGTAACCTGAACTACTTATAGCTGTATTTCAGGGAATCAGTAACCTATACTACTTATAACTCTATTTCAGGGAATCAGTAACCTATACTACTTATAACTCTATTTTAGGGAATCAGTAACCTGTACTACTTATAACTCTATTTTAGGGAATCAGTAACCTGTACTACTTATAACTCTATTTTAGGGAATCAGTAACCTGTACTACTTATAACTCTATTTTAGGGAATCAGTAACCTGTACTACTTATAACTCTATTTTAGGGAATCAGTAACCTATACTACTTATAACTCTATTTTAGGGAATCAGTAACCTGTACTACTTATAACTCTATTTTAGGGAATCAGTAACCTGTTCTACTTATAACTCTATTTTAGGGAATCAGTAACCTGTACTACTTATAACTCTATTTTAGGGAATCAGTAACCTGTACTACTTATAACTCTATTTTAGGGAATCGGTAACCTGTACTACTTATAACTCTATTTTAGGGAATCAGTAACCTATACTACTTATAACTCTATTTTAGGGAATCAGTAACCTGTTCTACTTATAACTTTATTTTAGGGAATCAGTAACCTGGACTACTTATAACTCTATTTTAGAGAATCAGTAACCTATACTACTTATAACTATTATAGGGAATCAGTAACCTGTACTACTTATAACTCTGTTTCAGGGAATTGGTCAAGCACTGTCTCCAGATGCTGCAGTGTTTGTCCCCAGACAGTTCTCAATAGATGGAACTCTACACATTGAGCAGATTCCTACTTATATGACTAACTGCTATCCCTTTGTGCATGTGGATTCAGAAAGGTATGGCATTAATATGTTTGTACATGAAGTGTTCATTTATACAACAAGCATAGGACTATATGGTTTAGGACTTCTTCCAACATTCTGTGATAAATACAATACAGGATTAGTCAATTTTCACATGAAATTTTAAGAAAGAGACACATATATGTATCTATTTCTAAATCATCAGAATTCTCTTATTCAAGTCAAGCTGTAAATTTGTATGGTTGAATTCTGCATTTCAACCAAGAAAAATGTTCTTTAGGTGAAAACACTGTGTAATCTTTCAACAATTTATTTACCTGAACAAAGATTTTTTAATAATATACACATGTAATAAGTAACAAAAATATCCTGTAACAGCATTCTGAATCATCCTTCTGGTACTTTGACCTTGTATATTTCTTGTATCAATCATTAGGTAGATTTATAACCCCAAACCTACAAGTCCCACTTTGGGCAGTAGTGAATAGGTAAAAAATATGGGATGCATACTTGCAGTCATTTTTTGGGCATGTTGGGTGTTGCACAACTTTATAAATTAAAGGTTCATGACATATGGGGCTAGAGTTCCATCATATTACACAAGATACCATCAAAACCGATAAGTAAATTGTGCTGATTTATTTAACCTTTCAGACTCATCACAAAAACTGTCAAAGTGCAATACTGCTTCTCAGCAAATTTTTGTGACAACTTTTTTTTACTATAAAGTTTTTTACTTCTCATTATCAAGACAAAATTTAAGCAAATTTTAATAATTTTTTTCCATGTAATCTTTACAATAATAAGTGAGAATATTACAAGAAAATGATGTTTTCACAAATGTAGGTAAGTTATGGCTAGATATTTTTTTTATTATCATTTGTAACTAGATTTATGTCATTTTTAGCCGGGCTTATTGCTCAAAGAGCAATTGCCGGCTTATGCGATCCTGTTCAAGACAGGATGTTAACCTCATAGTTGCCATTTTAAAGTTACGTGCAAAAATATAGTTCTTACTCTCAACCGCTTTTGAGATAATACAAACACTAAATAAAGCAACAAAAATAAAACAAAGTTTTATCTATATAAAATAAATATTATTTAGTAGTAATGACTTTGAAAACTTCATAAGTCAAAGAACATAGTTCATTAGCGTAAGGACTTTTGATAATCAGTGTTACCGTAGTTCTCTACACATACGAGGTAAAGCAGGAGAGGGAACCAGACTGGCCTGTTTGTTTACATTCAGCTGCGGTACCAGATTAATTCTGATTCTGACAAAATCGGACCGTGGTATTGAAAACCTCACTGTCAGTGTCTTATCATTTATATTGATAGTTTTAAAATAATTTTTTCATCAGAATATAAACGTGATTCATGTAAGAAATCCATTCTACTCTGTAAATGAGCCTGGCTCTCTGTACTTCTGAGTACTTTGATTGGAACATTTGTATTCATGTATGATTATTGTTTGTCCCCTCAGAACAGTTTCCTTTTCTTAGAAATATTTGCTTAATTCAGATGGTTTATGTAAATCATGTATATTAAAATAAATAATATTTATGGTAAGCAAAATAAAATTGTGTTGTGTTTTTCTTCCAGACAGAGGAATGTGGGTAGACATGGAAGATCACCTCCCCCCTTCTTGGGCCCCACTTCACGACCCAGTAACCCAAGGTTTCTTAGAAGTTACCCAGGTATTCAACTCAGTAAAATTATTGTTATGTATATATTTATATCCTCTCAATGTTAGTCTTGAAAAAGAATGGTAGAATAGAAAATTTTAAAGATGGAATAGTTCCTTTTAAGACAAACATTTAGAATTTAAGCTATGGTAAAGTGTCTTCCATAGTCCATGTGGCTGGCTTCATCTTGATAAAACATTTTCTCTCTCCAAATGCTGGTATTTTTACAGTTTTGATCTAAATTGCGGTACACAAATATTTTACATGAAGATGATTACATGTAATTACATCTTTTTGTTATTCATTCTATACAAAGTCTAGCTCACAGTGTTGTGTAATATGAAATAAGTTTTGTTCACATATACCGTATATACTCGCCTATAAGTCGGTCCGCCTATAAGTCGGTTGTATTTTTTGACGTTATTTTGTCGTGATTTTCCATTGACCCGCTTATAAGTCGGTACAATATTTTGCTAAAATTGTGCGACAATTTCAATTAAATCCTTGATATTTTAACCTGGTTTCAATTAATATTTTTATGAATAACACCAATATTTCATTTTAGCTCATTTAACAGATAGGTAATGCTCACTTATAATATATTAATTAAAATTATTAAAATATGTTAATACTCGTTTTTTATGTATAATCTAAGAAAACATAGATTATCTTACATATCCAGACATTTACTTTGATAATCGTCAGAAATCCATATGAAAACTACATTTCAGCGTCCAGAAAAATACCTATCTCTCTATGACTCGCCTATAAGTCGGACATAGACTTTAAGACCAAAATTGAACTCCCAAAAAACCGACTTATAGGCGAGTATATACGGTAATTACTTTTTGGTTAAGAAAAATTCATTAAACTGTTATCTGTTGTAAAGGTTTAGCACCAAGGATTGGTCAAAGTGATCCATTGTGTATACTTGCAAAATCAAGTAACAATTCACATCAGTTTCTACAAGACCTTACATGTACCAGACTATTTTGAATAAAACTCTCATTAGAGACTTTAAGTGTACAGTTTTATGATGTGTGTGTTGTGTATTTGACAGGTTATGGAAACAGGATGCCGGGGCCTCAGAACTTCAATCCTAGCATTCCCCCGCCCCTGGAGAATACCTGGGTGATGCCCCCTACATCTGTTCCCCCTATGAATTTCTTAAATTTTCCACCACCAGATGTACTATTCAATCAGGACAAGGAACTGCAGAGGGATTCACCCAGGAGCCCTGCCAAACCTGCCTGGTCCCCCTGCGAGGGAGAGGGTAAAGCGGGGCACACCGGGAGGCAGGAACAAAGGAGGGGGAGTGGTGGTGAAGGAAAGAGATGGAACCAGGTAATACAGTGTAGTTACAAGTCATCATAAGCAATTGTAAGTCATCATAAGCAGTCACAAGTCATTGTAAGAAGTCACAAGTCATTGTAAGAAGTCAAAAGTCATTGTAGGAAGTCAAAAGTCAATATAAGAAGTCAGAAGTCATCATTAGCAGTCACAAGTCATTGTAAGAAGTCACAAGTCATTGTAAGAAGTCAAAAGTCATTGTAAGAAGTCAAAATTTGTTGTAAGAAGTCAAAAGTCATCATAAGCAGTCACAAATCATTGTAAGAAGTCAGAAGTCATTGTAAGAAGTCAAAAGTCATTGTAAGAAGTCACAAGTCATTGTAATAAGTCACAAGTCATCATAAGCAGTCACAAGTCATGGTAAGAAGTCAAAAGTCATCATAAACCGTCATAAGTCAATTAAAAAAATCAAGAGCATACATGTATCTTATTAGATGATGCACATTGCTAAGTGATGAGTTGTTAGTAATCTATGGCATATTTGGTATGTCAGTAACACTTTAGTAACCTATCTCTTATTTGCTATGGTGCCACAGAATAAAAATGACTTCCTTACTCAGTTCAATTGTGCATTTCCTATTTCATCTTATTTTGGGTTCCCGTAGCAAAAAATGGACTTTGCCATTTTGCTAGGAAGGGGTATGAATAATTTTGTAAGTTCAGTGCTCACAGTGTTTATAGTTTTAACCAATTTTAGTCATTCTGGCTTGTTCTATGAACCATTATTTAACATTCTTACACAAATCAATTAATTCATTCAGAGAAGTCGAAACAGCTCTGGTAAGAGTAACACCAGTGATGGTCAGAGAGAGGACTCAAAAGCAGGCACCAGGGGTAAGAAGAGGGAGAGGATCAAAAGTGGTGGAGCCAGTCAGGAGAAGACAACTCTAAGTCAGCTGTCAGTACAGATGACGGACACTGCTGTACAGACAGGTAACACAGTAATGTTACATTCAACATGTGAACTCTCACTGTATTCCTAAAACCTTGTGAAAATAAAGTTCAACACAAGTCATTTGCAAAAGAATATTATTGATTGGGCCATCTTTAAAAAAGTATTTGCTTACCCTCTCCTGACTTGGGTGAAATAATTGGGTCAGTAGGTAGGTGGGAAAATTATTTTCCAGAAAATTTCAACATATTTTTTGATGGCATAAGAGGAGTAAAAAAAATTTCATTCAACACATGCAGAAAAGCAGCTTTCGGTAAAGATTAAGATGTAGTAATAAAAGGTGGACTCATTTAAAAACCTTTTTCCTAACCCCCACCAAAAAAGCTCTTTAATGAGTATAATTTCTTAGATCATAGTCCTGTTGGAGATGGAGTTGACTGAAATAAGTGAATATACGGTATATGAAGTAACTTCATGAGCACTTGAGCAAAATTCTGAATTCTGAATTGATTTAAATTTTTAAAAAATTTTCTGCACTACTTTTCTTTTTTGGATCATTGTCCATCATCACATTAAATGTAAGTTTTATTACATGTTAATTTATACTTGTTTTTGATTACTTAACTATATGTGTTAATGTGTTAATGTAAGGTGTTAATTATTTTTTTATTTGTCTTACAGAATTTTCAGAGAAGTTTGCTAATCAAACTCTTGCACAATATCCGAGTCCTATATACAACCCTAACTTAGTCAGCCCCGGTAAGGGTAGGGTGATTGGGAGCTCATCTGAGGACTCGGACAGCGGCTATCATAGTCCACTCCACAAGAAGAATCAAGTCACAAGTGGTACTCAGCCCGGCGAACCAGTCACGAGCGGTACTCAGCCCGGCGAAGTAGTCACTACACAACAGAATACACCAAGCAAGTCTGGAAAAAGTGTGGAAAAAACATCCACAAATCAGACACTAAAAGCAAAGGAAAAGGAGGCTGGACAACAGATATTTTCCTATGCCTTTATTGCACAATCCAAACCAGTGATAGAATCTAGTCTGAAGTCAGAGCCAGAGGTAGGGCCGACCGAGAGCAAGAAAACCGAGGGAGAGGAAAGCGGGAACGAGGGAAAGAAGAAGAGAAAAAGAAATCGAAGGAAAAGAAAGAAAAAGAAAGGAGAGAATCCAGAGGCAGCAGAGGAACAACCAGTGGTGGATTCACCAGGGGTGGAGCTTTACTTCCATGATGAGGAGGAATTTCCAGACCTAGGAGCTGGGCAGGATAGAGTGGGCTCAGCACAGAGACCACCTTCTGTCTCCTACAGCTCAGTCCTGTCACAGGTCAGCACCATGTCACTTAAAGTCCCTTAATAGTGCCTCTTAACTTTACAAAATAAACTGTTAATGTTTCTACTTTGTAGACTAAAACATCACCACAAAAAAATGGTCAGAAGAGGCAAGAAGAACTAAACTCACGATCAGAAATAGGTAAGATAACAAATGAGAAGTAAGTTCAATGCCAAGCATTAATCTATTATTTAAAAAGAGTAAGGGGTTCATATAGACTCAAAGTAAATCTGTGGACATAGAAAGCCAGTGATAATAAGAATAGTTTAGCTTGTGTCTCATGGTGCATTTGTTATATCAGAAAATCCAATTATTTAAATAAGCTAATTATGTAACAGATCCTTCGGGGGACCCTATGCGTAACTCTAGACGGCGCAGGAAAAAGATTGAGATAGTACAGCAGGCGGCAGAGGAGGAGCTAGCAGAGATCAGTCTGGAGCAACAGATGCTGAGGGAGCTGAACCTCAAGTCCAGGGGGCGGGGCCACCAGACACCCAGCATAACTCCGGGGGGTCAGCCCCGGGGTCACCAGACACCAACCTTAACAACTCCGGGGGGTCAGCCTCGAACATCCAAGACAGGCAGTCCACAGCCAGGAATACTGAAAGTGCCAGCTCAAAACCAACCCACGGGAAAGAAAACAAAGCAGGGGATCTCACTAGATCTCAGTGCTATGATTGATGCTCTAGAGGCAAGTCATTCATACATGTAAACATGTATTTTACCAAAGTAACTTATATACTTAAGGGGGTCGACTGAGGTTTTATTGTACGAAAACTACAGTAGAGAAACTCTTTGATTTAATTTAATGTTACATACATACTTCAGTGTACATGCCAAGTTTGGGGAAAATCTACTGTCTAGGTATTCTTAAGGGACCATCTCAAAATACAGGTGTATTTATTTTAGGATTGTATAGGAAAGTGCGAATTTTTTGCACTTTAAAGAAAATTATACAAAAACTACAATAGACTTTTTGCTCAAATTATAATATATGATGAGTAATACTATATTGTACATCATATGTGAGAAACACTAAATTCTACCGTCTGGTTTCCAGAGGGGGCATCTCAAAATGCGAAAAATTAATGATTTTTCCTGTTTTTATGGAGTACTTCAATATGACAGATACAAAGGATAAGTAATAAAAAAACAACAAAAAATAATCAAGAGATTCTCCAATTTGTATGTTTTAAATTTCAATAGCATATGGCCATATGTTTAATACTTTTTCTTTTATAACATTTTTATTTCCCCTTCTTTCAGAGATGCAGTTTATCAGAATGTCAAAAACATAACAATGTCAATCTACTTATCAGTTGAAAAATCGTTTTAAAAATCAGTCATAAAAAAATTGTAATTAAATTTTTTCGCCTATAATTTCTTTATTTTGTTAAATTGTGTTAATTTAGTGAAAAAAGTTACTTTAAAACAGTAAATACGCTTCTTTTTACTTTGATATGCGAAGTATTGTGTAATGGAAACCACAGTCGTCCCTCTTAAATTTCATTACACGTACAGGGACTACAAAGTAATTTTATGAGACCAGTAAGTCAACCATGCAGAAAAGCACCCTTGGGTAATGAAAAAGATAGTTCACACCTCTCACTGATAAATTTATTATGGAAAATAAGAGAAGGCACAAAAAATATGTTGGCTGAATACTGAAGGGGGGGGGGGGAGGGGAGATGTCAGGAGGAATAATGCAGTCAACAAATATTACTCTGCTTGATCACTCCATAAATTAAATATTTTATCTTGATATGAAATATTCATAATAAACAAATCAACAGTTAAATTTTGATATCTCAAACACAGTATCTAAAATACCATGGATATGTTGAAGTGATTTGAAAGTCCCAACCACTTGTTTGTTAAGTATTTCAGTTTCAATATCTCAAATCCTTGGATATTTGGAAGTTTTTTCTCAATTATATTAGAGATATTCGGGTTTGACTGTACTCTGATTGTCATTTATTGTGTTTTTTAACAAATATTTGTTATCTTTTTTCAGAAAAAGAAACCAGAGGCAAAGAAACCAGTTGATCAAAAGGTCACCAAGTCCACAGAGGTCAAAGCTAAGGAAAATAAGGTATGTCACACTGTAGATAAATATAAATATATTAGGGATGTCAAATCGGTCAATATTTGATAATCGGTTACTCGGACGTTTTTCCAATCGAGTACCCGATTACTTGGTAAAATTGTAAATACAAGTCTGTTAATTTTCTTAAACCCAGTTAAGCTCTGTTAAACCCCCATGTTGTTTTTTATTTCGTTTTTAGCGCATGATTAGATAGTCGAATCTACCGAAAATGATTTATTGTACTTACTTTATTTATTTAACATAGAAGACATCAATTCGATACACCAATAATTTCAAATGATTTACAGTTCTTGTTTGGGAAGACGGTTTAATCAATCTGCCACGCACCTTTGTAATGACAACATTAGCGAAGTGGACATTGTTGGAAACGGTTGTTGTATATTGTTATTGCCCCCTGTATATGCTATATTTATTCCACATAGCTGGCTTTAAAATTTTTTTTCAATCTTCAACATCATGTATTACATGTACCTAATATTTCTTTACATTTCCAAGTCAGTAGCTGTATATTTATACATGTAAACAGTTTAAAAATGATTTAATGATAACAGCACATACTTGAATGATCATCAATGAAAACAAAACATTGAAGCCATGTTACAACGCACTTTGAAAAATTACGCACTTTGAAAAAATTTTTCAAAGTGCGTTAATTTTTGGGACCAGGTTAACGCACTTTGAAAAATTTTTTCAAAGTGCGTTGAATTTGGGACCAAATCAACGCACTTTGAAAAAAATTTTCAAAGTGCGTTAAGACTGTACATCATAATTTTACACCATGTAAACATTTAACGCACTTTGAAAAGATTTTCATGAAACAAAAGGAATTAGACTTATATTTTAGAAATAGACAACAGTATTATCCGCTCGCAACGTATGATGGAATATAGTGTTGAACTTTCAAGAATCGCCATATTTTGAAATAATCATAAATATGATAACATGTATCTAATATCTTTTCTCATGTTTTACGCAAATAAATAAAGCATATATAAATTAATAAAATACAATTATTTAGTTTTAAAAAGCTTTAAAATTGGAGAAAAATAAGCATTTTTTTTCGTTTTTTGTCTATAAACATATGCCCCCCTCCCCGTGAAACACAAAAAGCTTTGGCAAAAATTTGTAAAATGACAGTCCATATTACCTGTAAAAAGGAATTTTTGTTTCACAGGGGGAAGATGTTTTAAAAATATTTTAAGTTTACCGTTGATTTCTATAGTGAAAAACACAAGTTTTGCCAAAATTATAGAGTTATCTCTGTTTGGTATTACAAATAAGTAAAGTTTTATGGAAATTCATATAAATATCTATAAAAATTTTGAGAATCATTCCAATATGTTAACTTTTGAGAATTGACTTAGAGATAGGCGGAAGAACAATACTATCGTTCGTAGTTCTTTACGACCTTTTGACCCCAAATTCAAAAGGAGCCCTCTTAAGGCCACAGGGATTCTGTTATGTTAAATCTCATTGCAAAAGCTCAAAGGGTTGTCGAGATATCGTGTGGAAACGAAAGCGTTACAGAAAGACGGACAGCTAGACGGACGGACGGACAGATAGACCCAAATTAATATCCCCCACTTTTCAAGCGGGGGACAAAAAACTATCAAATCAGGTTCAAATGATAATTTATCATACCTAAGATTTGTAGGAATATTGACTAAGCCATGCAGAATTTTTTTTTTCAAAGTGCGTTAATATGGTCGATATTAACGCACTTTGAAAAAAAAATTTTTTTTCAAAGTGCGTTAACCTGGTCCCAAAAATTAACGCACTTTGAAAAATTTTTTCAAAGTGCGTAATTTTTTCAAAGTGCGTTGCCACAAAGCCATCCAAAAATTAAGGATCACAATAGGTGAGAAAAGCTGTGTACCAGGTAATTGGTCACTAATTACTGTATATATACAGCCACAGGCTATAACGGGTGTTTTACGGGTGTAGATGACAGTACGCTAATTATCGTATGCACATTTAAGTTATTTTTTGATAAGTTTTTGATAAAAATATGTATTTTGAAATAAGAAAATATATACATCCGAGTAACCGAGTACCAGTTTTAGTATTCGATACTCGGACATTCGATCGAGTACACGGTTAACCAGGTACTCATTGACATCCCTAAAATATACACATCAAATCATCTGAGATAAGAATTTTAATGCCTTTTATTTCTGTTCAGTTACAAAACAGACAGATATAGTGGCTACATTACACCTGTAAACTTCATTTGTAATGTGTTCAAACTTACGTTTGCATAGAACATGTGTATTGTAATTATTTCACTGAAAATTTCATCTAACTATGTCTATGTATAAACTATGGTATGGAATGTAACTTTTATGTTGTAGAAGCCTGGAGTGGGACACAATTTATTGGACTCTTCAGCTCCCCAGAAGAGGGGCAAGGAGAGAGAAAATCCTAAAGCCAAGAAACCCAGCTCCCTTAAAAAGGTAAACACAAAGTCGAGAAACCCAGCTCCCTTAAAGACCCAATTTTTTTACCGTACGGTTACCTGAGGAGGGGGAGTGGTCTAGGTAACAGTGGTGTTATTTACCTGGAGACCCCCAATACCCAAAATGTCAAAAATCTATATACACGTAGCATTACACAGGAAGTCTGTGTCTGGTGATCAGGGTCAATATTCCGTGTTTCGTGTCTAAATTTGAGTGAAACTACTTGAAATAATTGAAATATTTCAATAAAAAATTTTTTTTATAAATACTTTCAGTGATATATAATGAAGAAAAAAATTATATACAGAAATATCGTTTTTATATTTAAAAAAAAAAGACAAATTAAAGAAAAGAACACAGTGTAAAACTACAAAGTAAACATATCTTTTTAAATTAAACTTGTGTAAATATCAAATTTTAATAAAAATAATATAATAAAATATTCCATTCATAGGTAGGCCTATCCGTCGTGTGAACATATACAATGTACCGTACTACGATAGAAATATTGCCTTCGTTCTGATCAACAATAGTGTCGAAAATATTCCCCATTTCCGGGTGTTCGTGTGTTTAATTTTTTTATTGTTTGCAAGATTTCTTTTATACTTTTAAGAATTGATATTTGGCTGTATATATACACTTTTTAATTTCGAATATTGGATATTGACAGATGTAAGGAAATTCGAACTAAAAGTTACAATCTCGAAACTCCTAGCTATTTTCATTTCAGAACTTTACAACGGAACATGGTATAGATTGTATTCATATATACGTAGATAAAACATGGGATAAATGCTTTTTTTTATCCGTGCCGTTTGTGCTAAATATCTTTTCTTATTTATCATATTTCAATTTTAATCGGCAATTAGCGTTTCTGTGCACGGACTGGTCTAAATTCTACAGAGCAGATATCTTGGACGACATATCGCCTAAAATACAATATAGCCGTTGAGATTAAAAGCAAATATTTTATGAAGTCATGTTTTAATTATCTACTCTCAATTGTTTTTAAAATAAAATTTTACCAAGATTCTTTTTTTAACCCCCGTGTATACATGCGGCTACATAAAAGTGTTTGACGCGTGACCAGGCAATCGTTTTCAAAGGACATAAACTCAGACTATCGGTAGCTGACCTGTCAATCAAATCAGAAGCTATTGTTTTTTTAATGATTGACAGGCGGTAAATTATTGATCTTGAATCAGGTAGATTTTGGGGGCGTTAACATAAAATTGGGTGTTTAAAGAGGTATACACAAAGCCAAGAAAACCCCTCCCTTAAAGAGGTATACACAAAGCCAAGAAAACCCCTCCCTTAAAGAGGTATACACAAAGCCAAGAAACCCAGCTCCCTTAAAGAGGTATACACAAAGCCAAGAAACCCAGCTCCCTTAAAGAGGTATACACAAAGCCAAGAAACCCAGCTCCATTAAAAAGGTATACACAAAGCCAAGAAACCCAGCTCCCTTAAAGAGGTATACACAAAGCCAAGAAAACCGCTCCCTTAAAGAGGTATACACAGAGCCAAGAAACCCAGCTCCCTTAAAGAGGTATACACAAAGCCAAGAAACCCAGCTCCCTTAAAGAGGTATACACAAAGCCAAGAAAACCGCTCCCTTAAAGAGGCATACACAAAGCCAAGAAAACCGCTCCCTTAAAGAGGTATACACAAAGCCAAGAAACCCAGCTCCCTTAAAGAGGTATACACAAAGCCAAGAAAACCGCTCCCTTAAACACCCAATTTTATGTTAACGCCCCCAAAATCTACCTGATTCAAGATCAATAATTTACCGCCTGTCAATCATTAAAAAAACAATAGCTTCTGATTTGATTGACAGGTCAGCTGCCCGTGCTGTCTGATAGTCTGAGTTTGTGTCCTTTGAAAACGATTGCCTGGTAACGCGTCAAACACTTTCATGTAGCCGCCTTGTATACACGGGGGTTAAAAAAGAATCTTGGCAAAATTTTATTTTAAAAACAATTGAGAGTAAATAATAAATTAAAACATGACTTCAAAAAATATTTACTTTTAATCTCAACGGCTATATTGTATTTTAGGCAATATGTCGTCCAAGATATATCTGCTCTATAGAATTTAGACCAGTCCGTGCACAGAAAAGCTAATTGCCGATTTAAATTGAAATATGATAAATAAGAAAAGATATTTAGCACAAACGGCACGGATAAAAAAATTCATTTATCCAATGTTTTATCTACGTATATATGAATACAATCTATACCATGTTCCGTTGTAAAGTTCTGAAATGTCAAAACAGCTAGGAGTTTCGAGATTGTAACTTTTAGTTCGAATTTCCTAACATCTGTCAATACCCAATATTAGAAATTAAAAAGTGAATATATACAGCCAAAAATCAATTCTTAAAAGTATAAAAGAAATCTTGCAAACAATAAAAAAAAATTTAAACACACGAACACCCGGAAATGGTGAATATTTTCGACACTATTGTTGATCAGAAAGTAGGCAATATTCCTATCGCGGTACGGTACATTGTATACATATGTATGTTTACACGACGGATAGGCCTACCTATGAATGGAATATTTTATTATTTTTTTTTTTAATTTTGATATTTACACAAGTTTAATTTAAAAAAGATATGTTTACTTTGTAGTTTTACTCTGTGTTCTTTTCTTTAATTTGTCATTTTTTAAAAATATAAAAAAGATATTTCTTTATATAATTTTTTCTTCATTAGATATCGCTGAAAGTATTTATAAATAATAATTTTTTATTGAAATATTTGAATTATTTCAAGAAGTTTCACTCAAATTTAGACACGAAACACGGAATGTTGACCCTAATCACCAGACACAGACTTCCTGTGTAATGCTACGTGTATATAGATTTTTGACATCTTGGGTATTGGGGGTCTCCAGGTAAATAACGCCACTGTTACTAAGACCACTCCCCCTCCTCAGGTAACCGTACGGTAAAAAAATTGGGTCTTTAAAGAGGTATACACAGAGCCAAGAAAACCGCTCCCTTAAAGAGGTATACACAAAGCCAAGAAAACCGCTCCCTTAAAGAGGTATACACAGAGCCAAGAAACCCAGCTCCCTTAAAGAGGCATACACAAAGCCAAGAAAACCGCTCCCTTAAAGAGGTATACACAAAGCCAAGAAACCCAGCTCCCTTAAAGAGGTATACACAGAGCCAAGAAAACCGCTCCCTTAAAGAGGTATACACAAAGCCAAGAAAACCGCTCCCTTAAAGAGGTATACACAAAGCCAAGAAACCCAGCTCCCTTAAAGAGGTATACACAAAGCCAAGAAAACCGCTCCCTTAAAGAGGTATACACAGAGCCAAGAAAACCGCTCCCTTAAAGAGGTATACACAAAGCCAAGATACCCAGCTCCCTTAAAGAGGTATACACAAAGCCAAGAAAACCCCTCCCTTAAAGAGGTATACACAAAACCAAGAAACCCAGCTCCTTTAAAGAGATATACACAAAGCCAAGTATTCTCACCTTTTTCTGATTCAAAATCTCAGAAAATTTAAATAAGTTTTTATTGAATCATGCTTTGTTGTTAAAGTTTGGTACACAGATCTGCTGAACAGATTTTTTGAAAAATTGGAGAAAAAAAACGGAATTTCTCTTCTTTTCACATTCCTGCCGATGACATTTTTTGTTGCCCCCCAAAATAAATAAAAATCGAGATCGATGTACCCAATTTCCAAACACAGCATTCACCAAAACACTTTTTACTGCATCAGAAATATAACTAGAGTTACTGTGAGCACTGAGACCACTAAATAACCCCCCCCCCCCCTTGCCATATCATTATAATGGCAAAATGCATGTTTTGCTCCAATCTAATTAAATTAGATAGATGTTTGATCCGCTCGTATACTTGCTACACTAACATCTAACAACATCCCATAGAGGGTCACATCAGAGGTCAAATTTGGAACAACTCTAGACTTCTCCGCTTCGATTACGTTGACAAATTTACGATGATTTTGCAGGCGACGATTTGATTGGTTGATAGGATTTGACGTCTGACGTGACCCTCTATGGGATGTTGTTAGACGTAAGTGTAGCGAGTACCTAACATCTAATTTTAATTTGATTGGTTTTGCTCATACACGTAAACAACTCTGATGGGCAAAGGGAAGTAACTCTAAAATAAAAATAAGACAAAAATTTGAATATAATGGCAGTGTCTATGTCTTGCTATGGGAAACCACATATGTTTTGGATCAAAAAGTAAAATAGGAGGTGCACAATGGCAATGTGTAATAAAGATTCTGTGAAAGTTTCAAATTTCATTCAGTGGTATGAGAGGAGTTTAAGAGATGGGTACCCCAAAGTGTAACAGACGGACCTACGTACAGACAAATGGAGGTATAGAAGCCCTCCCACTTTTCAAGTGGGGGTATTACAATTTATAAATGCCTTCTTAACATTGATCACTGGAAAAAAAACCACCAAAGGTTGAACAACATGGAGGGCTCGGACAACAACATTTATTTTAATGCTCAGTTCAACCATATAAGCAAGCCTTTACAATCTTTTACAGGGGACATGTAAAGAAACATAACAAAAGTCATGCTGTTTGAATATAAAAATACAAACTTCAAAGAAATGAGAAAGGTCTTGTAATTTTTTATTTTCCCTCCCCCAAATTGATTTTAAAATATTTAATCCTTGAACCAATTAAAAAAAATGGCCTTAAGGTTTCAGTTTTGATTACATTTATGTAGACAACTAGGTCACATGTATCAATACTCTGAACAACTGTTATCATTGAAAAATATCTTGACAGTTTAGAAGACAAAATTTAGTTTTTCAAAACTGAAATACTACATTCAGTAACATTATGTAAGATACTGCAAATTCATTCCATGGCTAAGAGACATTGAATTGCTCATTGACACTTAGTGTTAAAAAAAATATTAGGAATTCTGCAATCTTACCAATTTTTTAAAGGTAAAGAGAAAAAAAAAATCAAACAAATGCATTTTATATATAAAATTATATGTAGCATTTTTAGCTCACCTGAGCCGAAAGCTCAAGTGAGCTTTTCTGATCACATTTTGTCAGTAATCCGTCCGTCCGTCTGTCTAGCTGTCCGTCCGTCTGTAAACCTTTCACATTTTCAACTTCTTCTCAAGAACCACTGGGCCAATTTTAACCAAACTTGGTACAAAGCATCCTTGGGGGATGGGGAGTTTAAATTTTTAAAATAAAGGGCCAGGTCCCCTTCCAAAGGGAGATAATCAAGAAAAGACAAAAATAGGGTGGGATCATTAAAAAATCTTCTTCTCAAGAACCACTGGGCCAGGAAAGCTGAAACTTATGTGGAAGCATCCTGGGGTAGTGTAAATTTTAAATTGTTAAAATCATGACCCCCGGGGGTAGGGCGGGCCACAATAGGAAATCCAAGTTTTACATAGAAATATATAGAAAAAATCTTTTAAAAATCTTCTTCTCAAGAACCATTGGGCCAGAAAAGCTGAAATTAATATGGAAGTATCTTGGGGTGGTGAAGATTCTAAATAGTAAAAATCATGATCCCCGGGGGTAGGGAGGGGCCACAATAGGAAATCCAAGTTTTACATAGAAATATATAGAAAAAGTCTTTAAAAATTTTCTTCTCAAGAACCAGTGGGCCAGGAAAGCTGAAATTAATATGGAAGTATCTTGGGGTAGTGAAGAATCTAAATTGTAAAATTCTTGACCCCAGGGGGTAGGGCGGGGCCACAATAGGAAATCCAAGTTTTACATAGAAATACATAGGAATAATCTTTAAAAATCTTCTTCTTAAGAACCAGTGGGCGAGGATAGCTGAAACATATGTGAAATCATCCTGGGGTAGTGTAGATTTTAAATTGTTAAAATCATGACCCCCGGGGTAGGACGGGGCCACAATAGGAATCCGATTTTTATATAGAAATATATAGGAAAAATCTTCTTCTCAAGAACCAGTGGGCTAGTAAAGCTGAAACCTAGGTGGAAGCATCTGGGGTAAATTATTAAAATCAAGATGGGGGGGGGGGGGGTAAGGGGCCACAATAGATATAAGAGGAGGGGAAATCTGGTAAAGAACTGCATTACAAAAGTTACTCAGATGAGCGATGTGGCCCATGGGCCTCTTGTTGAAGAAGTTTTCCCATTATATCACAAATATAATATTTTTTCCATATGCCCTGAAAAATTGCTTAATCACGTCGGATATAGTTATATTTCACCGGAAGCAATTATATTGCCCTCCCGAAAACAGTTACGTACCATCGCATGCAATCATTCTGCATATTTAATATTTGGGTTTGAAATTCACAGTGGCAGTTGCTAAGCAAACGTAAACAGTTCTGCGAAAATTAAAAAGTTGGGACAACGTCTGCGATTTGTTAATTTGAATTCAGAATTCAGGAGAAAAAATCTAACTATAATATAAATAAAACAAAGTTATCAACACAAGTGTCAGCATACTTAAACCAATCTGCCATGAAACAGGATGTGATATTTCAGAATTTTATCTCAAACGTGTGGATGATACAGGCCATTGGATATACCTTTGCTTTATCCATGGGTAGATGCTTTATCAATAGCACTTCTGGTTTTGACACTATCCCTTGCTTCGAGATTTTATTTTATTGACACTTTTATTTGTAAAAATCATTGCCCTTATAAAATGAATGATAAAGAGCAACAATGTCATTAAAAGCAAGGAAACGACTCGTACATGTCAAAGAAGTGTCTTATTTTATGAAGGCTACTTAAATATGGATGTTAACACCCCCCCCCCCCCCATTCATTTAAATTGTTCTTGGAGAAAGTAAAGTATCTTCAACAATGCTTTTTTTTTTTTTTTTTCATATTTTACTACGTATGCCTACCTATAGTAGTAATGTAGGTGTAACTTACCATGGATCAACAATGAATCGGCCCCTAGCCTTGCCTAACACGTTTTGTACTGCCATCGTCCAAAGAGTTCATTTTCACGATCCCATGATCCTTACAACTTTCAATCAGGAGTTCGTTTGATTGAAGGCTCCAGCAATTGTCACATAATGTTTTCAAAGACGGAGATAGCAAAAATTCTAAAATTTGAACACGATCTACTTTCTTTCGAGGCATGTCAACATCAACGGTGCTTTGTCATCAAAGTTATACGTCATCGATTTGAATTACATGTAGCAATCATTCATGTAGTTTCGCATGGGAAGTCTCAAAATTTTGTTTAAACGAAAGTCGTATGAGATAAATAGAACATCTATAATTGTGTGATTTGATACTGTATACAGGGAGATATTCGCCCCCGTTTTATTTTTGCCCCTTTCGCCCTAGCCTCGATTGGGCGAATTTAAGAAGGGGCGAATTCAAAGAATACAGTATAATTTCTTAAACAAAAGTGTGATTGGGCGAATTAAAGACAGGGAAAAATTGTTTGCAAGTGTGAAAGGTCGAAAATAAAGCGGGGCGAAAATAACCCTGTATACAGTATTGGCTTTATCCAACTCCTTGAAATGGTGTAATATATATTTGCTCGGCAAGCCTCGCGAATATATACACCATTTCAAGGAGTTGGATAAAGCCAATATCAAATCACACAATATAGATATTATCCTCTATATACTCAATGTAATGTGTACGTAGTGTTCAATAAATATGCTCGATGATCGATTTGGGTTTAATGTTTAAAGATGTAATATAACATGGCTTATTTCTTGGGCAGCAGTACCAGAATATTTGCCCCTCGTTGACAGGAAAGCAGTGTTTAGCAGTTCAGTTCAGGAAATATAATTATGTTTATAGTGAAAGAACAATTATTGCTGCTGAGAATAATTTACTTATTTCATAAGTTCTTAAAATATTTGAAGTCAAATGCGGTGGTATCGCCTGTTTTAGTTTTCATAACTCCAAAGGAATTTGGGTTAAAAAGGTAAGTGTGGTTTTAGGCTAATTATAATACCGGTATTCAAAACCTTGTTCAATCGAAAGAAGATTGATTGAAAAATATCCATATTGTTTATCATTTTATCTTTTTCATCGTTATTAACGTAGAAATATATAATTCCAAAACAAATTGCACCATGACAGAAATATGTAGACAAAATATCACCTCGCTCTATGATTCGGTTGCGCTATGACCTCTGACCCCCAAATAATGTTCACACAGAATTGAACATATTTTCTCTTCAATAGGTTCATCTAAGGAAGATATCTGCTAATGTAAATATAGAAGTATGACATTACCATTTCCCTGCAAGCACTTTATAGCAGGGTACAAGTTTCTCTAAAGTTTGCCGTAAATAATATGTTGACATTATATGTTAATAAGAAAATAACTTTTCTTATTTTATGAGATTTAAGCAAGTATAAAATAGAAGATTTGGCAATAAATCGAAGATTAAATGAACTTTTTAAAGTGTGTGAAAAATGCATGATTGCGGGGAAGCAGTATATGCGTGATTTTGCATTAAGAATAGGAAATGGTAAATGCGTGAACAGTTTGTCAGCGCAACTCCTCATAAACCGCTGCACAGAATTTAATCAAACTTTGCAGATATTAAGGACACAATGTATAGATGTGCATATTACCAGGAAATTCCGATTCCTTTATTTTTTACGGAAATTTCGGCAATTTTCAACTTAGATTTTTGGCCATACCTTGAATATAGAGATGAACAGATTGTCAGTGCAACTCCTCACAAACCGCTACACAGAATTCAATCAAACTTTGCAGATATTTAGGACACAATGTGTAGATGTGCATTTTACCAGGAAATTCCAATCCCTTTATTTTTTATGGGAATTTCGGCAATTTTCAATGTAGATTTTTGGCCATACCTTGAATATAGAGAAGAACAGGTTGTCAGAGCAACTCCTCATAAACCGCTGCACAGAATTTAGTCAAACTTTGCAAATATTTAGAACACAATGTGTAGAGGTGCATTTTACCAGGAAATTCCAATTCCTTTATTTTTTCCAGGAATTCCGGCACTTTTCAACTTAGATTTTTGGCCATACCTTGAATATAGAGAACAGTTTGTCAGCGTAACTCCTCTTAAACAACTGCACAGAATATTGTGAAACTTTGCAGACATTTAGTGTGTAGATGTGCATCAGGAAATTCTGATTCCTTTATTTTTTTCGAGATTTTCGGCACTTTGAGTATTGGGGGAGCGTGGGGTATGTGAGCTTGCTCACTTTTTCTTTCATTAATTTCTGATTGATTTCATTATACTAGGTAATCTTAAAAGAGAGAGAGGAGAAGAAGAAAATGAGGCTTCTAGATGATACAGAGTCAGCTAATAATGGGTAAGAAAGTCAGCTAATACTGAAGTACATATGTATGCAGTTTTGCTATCCTGAATACAAAGTAAGCATGGGCTTTTTCCTGAAAAAAAATTAAATATGTATAAAATATATGGTGGAGTAATTCATATGGAATATTATAAATAAGCCACATCTCAGGAACACTTTGTTGATGAGCGTGTCTTTATATGTCTTGTTTAACTGTTTGTTTTTGTTGTCTTCAGTGTTTCACTGGGCATTGGAGTTGTATCAGGGAATGAGAGTGACATGTCACAAGATGGTATGAAATTTATATTTCCCAATATTCACCAGACATTTTAAAGTGCTAAAATTATCAATAAATGTCTATAAAAGAGCTTTACATAGAAACACATGTACTATGAAACGCTGCATCAGTGAACTATATGTAATTACAGCATTTAGCTCCAAAGGATCAGTGGTGGATTACACAGGCACGGGGACCCCTGCCAGTAATGACCTGTCCCCCATCAGCCAAACCTCCCCTATCAGTATGAGCCCCCTGTCCCCCGGGGTCAGCCCACAAAGCTCCGAGGTAAACAGCCCCATAGCAGGGACCATTGGTAAAGAGGTCCGCATGAAGATCCACAGCAGGAGGTTCAGGGAGTAAGTCCTAGTCTTATATTGCACTCATTACAGAATTAGTTACATATCAGGGATATACATCTAGTAGTACTCTCTAAGAGGCTGACATTCATCCCCAATAGGCTCAGTTTCCCTCTATTTGTTCTTTAAAAGTTCCTTACTTAAAATAATGATTGATTTATTAGTGTATAATTCATGTAGTCTAAAGTCAACTGAAAACAGCCACCAATGTAGCATTAAACTGTCAGCTTTTCAAGATGTATCCAATCATCTTTATGATAATGGATAGGAAAAAAGAAATGTAATGTTATTTCAATTGAAAGCTATTTTTAGAGCAGTAGTTTTTAACAAGATCTGGGGACTATTATATCCTTGAAAAAAGTGATGCAACATCTGGCAGAATGACATTCATTTTGATGTGATGAATACTGGGATAAAGTACTGTAGTTAAAAATCTCATGCCAATGAAAACTTGTATACTGATAAAAACAATCAGGTTTATTGATTTAATAGCTATTATTCACAGAGCTAGACTTAGTTTTTATGATTGTAATTGGGTAGTTGGGTGAGATTAATAACCCCAATATCACAAAAAACCCTACATATTTTGTAATGCCTGCAAAGCAGAGGGACACTTAAAAATCACATTAAATCACATGTACTTTGGGTATGGTAGGTTTCCTATCTCTCTGTTACCTGTAGCTATTATACCTACTATTTTCCATCATTGCCTTTGTGACTGACAGTGTTAGTTAACCTGCCTGTGTATCTGTATTACAGGTACTGTAACCAGGTCCTCAATAAGGACATTGACAGCTGCTGTACCCATCTCTTACAGGATCTGGTCCGCTTCCAGGACAGAATGTACCACAAGGACCCGGTCAAGGTACGCATACTGATACGGTAAATATAGTAACTGTACATCTGCAGATACTGATTGAAGTACCTAGGGGGTATACTAAGTAGAGGTAAGAGTCAGTTGTACACAGTGGCGGAGCAAAGAATTTCGTAACGGGAGGGTACGGTAGATGGCAGGGGGTCGGGGGGCTGCACTGAAGCCCCCAGTGGGTCTAGGGCAAGGCCCTGGTGGAGGTCTGGGGTTAAATCCCCTGGAAGCTGACAAATTTTTACAAATAAGAGATGTACCTTGATTTTAGGATAATGGACATATTAATTTTATATACAAAATATTCAAATGGGAGGGCGCATGCCCAGCACGCTGGCCCTGGATTCGCCTTTGGTTGTACATGTAATCTATACAACAGCTTGTATACAAAGAAATCACGGGGTTTTAAAGATATTTTTTTGTATGAAATTTCTCATGTACAGAGATTCTGAGTTATAAGAAATGAAAATGAAGCATAAGTGGACTTAGCTGTAAATGTAAAGTCATCTCAGATTTTAGAGCATTTCTTTGCAGGCCAAAACCAAGAGAAGAATTGTGTTAGGTCTGAGGGAAGTTACCAAGCACCTGAAACTGAACAAAATAAAGCTAGTCATCATTTCCCCAAATCTGGAGAAAATTCAATCTAAAGGTTCTGTATTGTTATTAGTCGACATACAGTGGTACAGATTAAGAGCTATTCCCTTTATTAGTATTTAATGAGTTGAAATTTTACATAGGAGCTATGGCACGAATAGTCTCAGAATTTCTCCAAACTATGAAAAAAGTCTTTGATGCTGCTCCTATATAAAAGTTGAGGTCATTATAAAGTCACTATAGAGAATGGCTCTTAATTACTATGTCGTTTTTATTTTTAACTCAACAAGGTGGCTCCACTGATTAGCTGATTAAAAGTCTGGATAAATGCATGACTATATAAAAATTTCATAAACTCTGATTCTGAAATTAAAAGTAAACTTAATGTTCACGAAAATAAACTGAACCATTATAGAATACTTTATAGAGGGGTTTCTTGGCGGATGTAAAATTTGGTGTTTTGTCTGTTCAAATTCTGTTATAATTTTGGCCTAATTAATTTTAGTGGAAACAGGGTTTTAACTCTGTAGATGACCAAGAAATAGAGTACTAATTATTTTAGCAATCAAAATTTTAGTGGGCTACTATGAAAATGCTAAAAGGCAAACTTAGCACTCTGCTAAAATAACCTGCTATAGGGTAAGGTAATTGGTTTCAAAATGCAAACTCACCAGTCTTCAAATTTTTAAAAAATAAATTATATAATGTGTTGACTTGAATATTTTATCTCTCAGAAATAAGTAGTATATTTGTTTTTTAACAGGTGGACTGCACGATGCCTTAAACAACATTTTAAACTTGTGTAATGATCAGAATGTTCCATTTGTGTTTGCCCTGGGGCGGCGTGCTCTTGGTCGAGCCTGTGCTAAACTGGTTCCCGTCAGTGTTGTTGGAATCTTTAATTACAGTGGAACTGAGGCAAGTGTATAATACACCCTAGTCACTAGGGGTGGGACGATATACCGATACACCGATACATATCGATATTTTCCTCCAAGGTACGGTTTACGATACAAGCATTCAAATATCGGTACGAAATGATACATGAACGACCTATCCAAAAACTGAAAATGAAAGTATCTGTCCTTGGAAAATGGCGGCTTGTACAAAGCGAAGAGATGATGTTGATATTGAAAACACACTTTAGAACTAATAAGTCGTTGGTTAGGGGTAAAACGTTTTCACTTTTAAGCAGCCTCAGAAGATTGATCGGAAGATTGGACAAGAAAAGTTCAGTATATAATGCGTGCTATACACAGAAAATATCGTTTCAGAACATTTGATATTAATAATTGTTAGTCCATCTTGTACTTTTTTTTGTAATCTCAACTTGGCTACAGACTTTCTGCAATGAATTAATAAAAATGTAAATTTTAATGTGATCGATGTTTTTTAAATGAATTTTTAGTCAGAGTTCTCTGATAAACTACACAACTATTTGTAAACAACTTCTGAATAGTAATTTGGTAATAATAGTATGTACATGTATTATTTTTTTTGGAAAGGTTTAGTCAATGAAATTGATGAACTTCAAGTATTAATTTCAAAGCAAATATGATTTGATATAGAATAATTTGTTGATTTAATGTCAGTGTCTTTTGAATAGTTTTATAATTTCTCATAATATCGAAATACATATCGTATCGTGCCAATATATCGAGATACCTATCGTATCGCAAGATGTGTGTATCGTTCCACCCCTACTAGTCACATGATTGGTCTTCTGTTTTAGCCACCAGAAAGGTGCCGTGTAAATCTTACACTTCATTGTGAAATGGTACATACAGTAAAAACCCTTATCACCAAGTGCCAGGAAATGGGTGATTTTGCTTCGTTATGAACATAATTTGTTATATGCATTAGCTTTACAGTATGTTTGAAACCCAGGAGGATTGAAAGTTACTTTGCTATAAGCATCAATTCATTATAAGCATGTTTCCTATAAGTGTGGTCTACTGTATTACAAATAGTGGTTGATACTTGTAATCATGTACAGAATATTGTTTTTCAAAGGAGAATTTCCATAACCTGATGGAGCTGTCGGAGCAGGCCAGACAGTCATACAAGGAGATGGTGAATGTGATTGAGCGCGAGATCAGGGACTACCCCACCCTGGGGGCGGCTGCGGCTGTCCCCCACATCTACGCTCACATGGGACACTCCCGGACCCCCTCCGGAGCCAGTGTGCTCAGCTTCACTAGCAGTCTGCTGTCTGAGCCTATATCTGAGAATTATCCCCACTCTGAGCCAGAAACAGACTCGGCAGGATATGAGCTCCCTAGAACCAAGAACAATCCTCCGGCCCCGATCAGTCGTGAGTCCATACAAGCAGCGTATGAGTCACAGATGAGACTTATTTACCCCCAGCTGGATGTTGACGAGGGTAATGAAGCAGACACAGAGGAAGGGGTCACTAAAGGTCATCACCATGACGAAGGTTCATCAGACAGTGATCCATCATCAGAGGAGGATACAATGAAAGCCTTGCCTCATATAGACTCCATTCACAGCAGTACATACGACCTAAGCACTGAGATCCTGTCTCAGAACTCAGGACGAACAGTCGATAACTGTGACGCTATTTCCACTCATTCATCTCGAACACTTGGTGATGGTAGCTCCACTCTTCTGGCTGACCCTGGTGAAAGATCAAGACATGGGACACCCAAAAGTACAGAGAGTCCAAGTAACACTCTACAGCGAGGGAAAGTGATCGACTCGGAGAGAATCCAGAACTGGGTGGATCAAACCAAGTCCCGCTTAGAGGACCTCCGACATCTGCAGGAAAATTCAGAGACAAGCAGCGAGGAGGATAGCAGTGAGGAGGATACTGTAGATGAACTCAATCTGTCATCGGACAGAAGTCAGTGTGATAAGGCGCTGTGTGGGACAGAACCTAAGGCTGATCAGACACCATGTGGGATAGAACCTAAGGCTGATCAGACACCATGTGGGATAGACTCAGCGGAAGACAAGACACAGTGTGAGGCAGAACCTAAGAGTGAAAAGACACCATGTGTATCAGACCCAAAGTGTGAAACTACAAAATGTGAATCAGACCCCAAGAGTGAAATTAGAAAATGTGAATCAGACCTCAAGAGTGAAATCACAAAATGTGAATCAGGTCCCAAGAGTGAAAGTAAAAAATGTGAATCAGACCTCAGTAGTGAAATCAAAACATGTGAATCAGACCCAAAGATTGAAATCACAAAATGTGAATCAGACCCCAAGAGTGAAATCACAAAATGTGAATCAGACCCCAAGAGTGAAATCATAACATGTGAATCAGACCCTAAGAGTGATATGAATCCCTGTAAAACAGACCCTGGGGGGAATGAGGTGGATGTTTCTGATGTTATGTGCCATGATAACGATGAGAAGGTGCTGAGTACTTCAGCAGACACTGAAAACAAAGAGTGTAAACCAGAGACAGACAACATACAGACTACAGGTTCACTGTCCTGACATTGGGCAGTGGTCATTTTAACAACTCTTATCTAATCAACTCTTATCACAGCTAATTGAAATGCAATATACTGTTTAACTAAAGAAAATCTTTTTGAAATAAGTATAGACTCTAAGTCTACGAAAATCAGGAGTATTTTTACCATCTTTGACCTTTCTGTATATTAAAGGGGCAAAAGCAGACTTGCATGTTATTTGGTTTGCAATTTTGAATTAATTTTGATTTATTTGAAAATTAGCTTTAGTTCAATACTTAATGACGACAGTGTTCTTTGTAACCTTACAGAAAACACCTAAGTTTGTAAACACTGACTCAAAATGAACTCATCTAATCACAGATTTAACTAAGGGTGATCTTTTTTGATACAAGTCTACAAAAACCTTGCATGATCTTACTGTATATTTTTGGGCATTGCATTGTTATTTTTAGCTCTTCTGAGCCAAAGGCTCAAAGAGCTAATGCTATGGCCATTTGTGCGGTGTGCGATGTGCGTAAACTTTTTAGAATATGGGCCATAACTCGAGAACCCCTTGGCCAATCAGTACCAAATTTGTCACGGGGTATCCTAGGCCCAAGGGCTACTACTTATACTAAAATAAGGGTTGGGACCCTTAAACAAGGGGAGATAATCAGGAAAACAAAAACAAAAGTACTGGTTGCTAAAAAATCTTCTTCTCCATAACCACCAGGCAGATTTTCACCAAACTTACATACAAGGATCAGGATATGTCGAAGATTAAAATTTGCACGGGGAATTACCATGGGGCAAAGGGCGTGGTCTCAAGGTCACTTCAAAGTTGACCTAAATTTACAATTAATAAAAACTTGTATATTTTGCTTACTGTAAGGACTAGGATCATCAATTCTTGTAAGTTGATGCATCTTACGACTTCACATCCTGTTAACCCAAAAGTAGGTCACGGTGACTTACTTTTTAGATTGAGCCGAAGGGATTTGTTTTCAAATTGATTTGGACACTTTAAGGCCTATGATCATCAAACTTTGTCAGTTGTAAACTTTTGACATTTTTGACTTCTTCTCAAGAACCACTAGGCCAATTTTGACCAAACTTGGTACAAAGCATCCTTGGGTAAAGGGGAATTTAAATTGTTAAAATGAAGGGACATATCCTTTTAAAGGGGACATAAATCCCATTAAAAGACAAAAATAGGGTGAGGTCATTAAAAAATCTTCTACTTTGAACCACTGGGCCAGTAAAGCAAACTTATGAAAAAGCATAGGTCATAGTGTAGATTTTAAATTGTTCAAATCATGACCCCCCGACAATGGGGAATCAAAGTTTTATATAGAAATATATAGGAAAAATCTTTGAAAATCTTCTTCTCAAGAACCACTGGGCCAGAGAAGCTGAAACCTATGTGGAAGCATCCTGGTATAGTGTAGATTCTAAACTGTGCAAATAATGACCCCCGGGGGAAGGGTGGGGCCACAATGGGGAATCAAAGTTTTATATAGAAATATATAGGAAAAATCTTTGAAAATCTTCTTCTCAAGAACCACTGGGCCAGAAAATGAAACTTATGTGGAAGCATTTTGGGGCATAAATTCTAAATTGTTCAAAGATGACCCCCGGGGGAAAAGGGGCCACAATGGGGAATCAAAGTTTTACATAGAAATATATAGGAAAAAGTTTTGAAAATCTTCTTAATAACAACTGGGCCAGAAAAGCTGAAACTTATATATGGAAGCATCCTGGGGTAGTGTGGATTTCAAATTGTCTAAATTATGATCAGTGGGGTAGGGTGGGGTCACAATATGTATTACAAGGGGTAAATCTAGTAAAGTACAGAATGGCCAAAGCTTCTCAGGTGAGCGATGTGGCCCATGGGCCTCTTGTTAGATTTTGCGGGGATTTGTTTTCAAATTGATCTGGACACTTTAAGGCCTATGATCATCAAACTTTGTCAGTTGATGCATCTTGGGTCCTCGAACAATGTCAACTTAAAAGTAGGTCCACATGACCTACTTTTGAACTTTATGACTTATCCTTTTAAAAACATTAAATCCCATTATTTCAGACACTGGGAGGTTTAGAATCATCAAATCTTTGTAGTTTTGCATGCATCTTGGGACCTTAAAACATATTTATGAAAAAGTAGGTCACTGTGACCTACTTTTTGAATTTTGCCGACATTTGTTTTCAAATTGTTTAAAACGCATATTTTGATTACCTTCAGACCTACGATCATCAAACTTGGTCAGTAGATGCATCTTAGGGTTTCATTGAAAAATGTCCAACAAAATGTAGGTCACGATGACCTACGTACATTTTATGGCTATATTTAAGTATCTTAGGTATTTATTGGCTTAGAATCATCAAACTTTGTCAGTTGATGTATCTTGGGTGTTCAGAGAATGTCGACCAAAAAGTATGTCACAATGACCTACTTTTGACATTTTATGGCTTCATTTAAGTATCTCTGGTATTTATTGGTTTAGAATCATCAAACTTTGTTAGTTGATGCATCTTGGGTTTTCAGAGAATGTTGACCAAAAAGTAGGTCACGGTGACCTACTTTTGACATTTTGTGACTATAATTAATTATCCCATTTCACTTTTGACCTAAAATCATATATTTTATTGTTTTGCATCTAATAATTTTTCATAACATGCATCAAAGTAGGTCACAGTGACCTACTTTTGAATATCTCAGGTACGTATAAGCTTAGAATCACAAATCTTTGTCAGTAAACCAACACCTTGGGTTTTCGGAGAAATCCCCTCAAATAAATAGGTCACTTTCTACTTTTGACATTTTATGGCTATATTTAATTATATCTGTACTTATTGGCAATGGTCACTGCAAACTTAAGAGAGATTGAGGACATCTTAGTGGTTTGATGTGAATGAACCATGTAGGAAATAGGTCACGGTGACCTTTAATTTTGAATATTCTATTATTGGCCAAATCATCAAATTTTGTCAATTTAGGCATTATGGGTTTTTGAATTCATTATTACCTTAATAAAGTAGGTCACCGTGACCTACAAATTTGATGGCTATATTTGTTATCTCTGGTACTAATTGGCTTAGAATCATCAAACTTTGTCAGATGATGCATTCTTGGGTTTTGAACGTGCACCGCCAAAGTAGGTCAATTGGAGACCAGCGCGCGAATATATCAGGTACTTCTTTAATAAGAATCAACAGTCTTTGTCAATTAATGTATCTTGAGTCCTCAGAAAATTTCAATCAAAAGGTAGGTCACTGTGACCTACTTATGGTATTTTATAATTATATTATAATATCTTCATTCTTAACTGGCTAAATATTATCAAACTTTGTAAGTTGATGCATTTTAGGTCTTATGATTCTAATAGAGTTGGAGGCTTCTAATAGAAGTGATTGATTGTACAATTTAGCAGAGTGATTCAAGGCCCTTGGGCCTCTTGTTGTTTATAATTTTGAAATAACCTATTAATTTGAGAAATAGCTTCAGTGAAATACTAAATTTCAAGAGTATTCTACATTAGTGTACACCAAACACCTGTGTTTGGAAATATTTTTCATAAACTCTGTTATAATTAATGTTTACACTTTACAGGGAGTGTTTCATGTGCTGCATTGCTTACATCACTGACAACAATGTGTGTTGTTTTGTTTTTTTCCTTTTTTTCACTTTTCTTCCTTAGGCCATATAAAATTAATCTTTAGATTCTCATCCCCGCCCGCCCCTCTCAAAATGTCCCGCCCCGACGTTTTTTATTTTGATTTTTGTGTATTTTCATGTATTTTTATTCATTAAGAATTTGGTTCAAAGTTTAAGAGTTATCTCCCGTCTGTATTAAAAGTCGCGTGTCGCTATTTATAGCAAAAACGCCATGTGAAGAATGGAGAAAAATCGGCAATAAAAGCAGTTTAAATTTGTAAGGAAAAGATAATTTGTCAGTATAGAGAAGGCAGAGAAGAAAAAATAGCATAAACTCATAGTTATAGATACCATCACTGGCAGGAGCAAGTATGTAGAGAGATTGTAACTAAGTAAAAATAGACGAGGGACACCTGGTCAAGTTATATATAACGATCTCCAGCTGTGTGACTTTGCTTTGAAATAAAAAAAAATCTACAACATCGTAGACAGACTTCAGAGAAGGCCTAGATTTTTCAGTAGAAGAATTATTAGAACATTTATATAGATTTTGCAAAATAAGAAGTCACGCATACACAATTTATTGGTATCCCCACCTCATTTTGTTCAGGGTGTGCCGTATAATGTGTACTTGATAATTTGTTAATTAACAATAAATATTTAATTTTTAAAGCAAAAATTTTCTTTAAATATTTAAAAGAATATGAAAAGAATTAAATCTATTCATATTTGCATTAAGGTAATGATAAAAAAATGTGTACGGGGCGTCCATTGTTTTGTTGTTACTTAGGCCTATATATAAATTAACAATTATAAAAGATAAAAAATAAAATCCGCCCACCCGCCCCAATTTTTTAGCAAATTAGGATGAGAATCTAAAGATTAATTTTACCTGGCCTTATATATGTAACATATTTTTTATACACCACAGATTTCCCATTTTCTTTGAATATTAAAGATAAATACATTTTATTCACAAACGTACAAGGATTTATATCAAACAAACTGATAGTTTCAATTTTTTTCTGATTAAATAAGTTTCTATACAGGTTTCTGTGTAAACTGTTCTGTAATACTCTTGAATTTTGAAGGTCATTAAAATGTATGGAAAATTTTGAAAAAATATATATCAAGCAAGTGTCCATGCCCCTCTAAAATGCTTTTCATGCTAAAAAGTGTTATGTTGAGTTGTGAGTTATCCTTGTACCACTGTACATGTCATCCTTAAGGTAAGGTCCCTGTCATGTCATACAGAAAACCAGCCAACAGTCTCTGTTATGTTAAGGTACAGAAAATCTGCTATTATTCAGGACAACTCATCTTCACATGTTGATCCCAGTTTAATGTTAAGATCATTCCCAGATAGCTCGAGAATCATTTATGTTAATCATTTTAATTTGTGAAATGGTCCATTTCATCATAGATATAGGTGCTTTTATTGGTGCCATTCACTGTAAACAAACTTTTATTCGCATGCAAGAAAATTTTTTGAGTTTCGTAAGAGCCTCGTCATTGCGAATATTTCTCACTGCAAACTGGTCCTAAAAGTCTGTGTCTATTATCAAAAGATCAAAAAAAGACTTGATCATGAAAATTTATTATCCCAAACTACGTTACAACCGCTAAATCGCGAAATAAAGTCATTGCGAATAAAAGTTGGTTTACAGTATTGTCAATTAGTTGCTTTTGTGGCTTATATACTGCTTAATTTTGGCTGATGTGCAATTCCTCCCTTCTTGAAATTAATTAGGCCTTCACATTTTTGCTCTAAGTTAATGTCCATACCCCGAGTAAA